CTCAGCCGGATTTAATTGCAGCCATCAACACCAGCTCAGGTGACTCACCTTCTTGTGTCGAGATTTTAAAATAAAAGCTGTTTTCACACTGAAGGAGAGGATGAAATACAATTATTTGAACTAAAATTTCGGAAAAAGATTAATAGAAGTTCTGGTCCCTCTTCCGGTTACAAGAACCTCGGCAATAAATACACCAGGACAGGAATCATGATTTACTGATTCGTTTGGATTAGAAAACAATCCATTGCTAGTCAAATCTCGTTACAACAAATTTTTCAGTATAACAAACTTTCTTTCAAGTCCTGGCAGAAATCCTATAGGGTACATGTTATAAAAATCTCATCACAACGAACTGCCAATTCCAAGTATAACAAACTTTTTTGAGGGACATTCTATGATTTCTTAATGAAAAATTAATGGTGGAGGCAGGCACAGTCTCACATTTCCCATTTCAAATGTGACTGGTTCTTGGAACATGAGGAGGAATCAAGCACAAAAATTCTTAAAAATTCACCTGAAAACCCCATCTTTCAAAGAGTATTCTCATGTTAGGAATGATAATGGTTTGGATGATCAGATGGAAAAAATGAGCGCAGCAATACTCATGTTAAAAAGGGTTTGTATGATTTAGAAATGCCAGTGATGTAAAAATTGTTAGCAATTTTGACACATTCACCCTTACAAATCTTTGCAGGAATTGCTTTAATAAACTTTGAGTCATGAAAGTGTGCCAGTATTTACCTGTTATTCAGAGTATCTTTTTTTATTTCAACATTACATTTCTTTTTGAAGATCAGAGTTCTTTAACCACTGAAAAACATCTGAAAAGGGCACAAAAGGAAGATGTTGAATATATGCAGGTCTAATTTGAAGAAAATCTTCCGATCAGTCAATAATTTTCAAAATCTCATAACAATTTATTTGCTACAACAAACTTTTTCTGAAGTCCCCAGAAGTTTTTTGTAACAAGATTTTACTGTATCTTATTTTGGAAGCGAATNCTCACAAATCTATTCCGTTTTCTTTTAAAAAGCCATGAACAGAACTGTACAGGTATTCGATCATTTCTCACTTTCATTCCAACGAATTGTAGGGCTTGAGAGCTCTTACACGTGTTACTGCTTTCCGTTCAAGGTTTATGGCAAACGTGGACTTCGAAAGAAAGAAAAAAATCAAAGTGAAAACTCAGTACCCCAGAGCAAACTTTCACATTGGCAAACACGAAAGGATAAACTTGGCCAAACGACCTCGACCAAGTAGGCAAACATACTAAGGTATTGTACCTTTCCTTTCCCTTCTCGCCTCAGCCGGATTTAATTGCAGCCATCAACACCAGCTCAAGTGACTCACCTTCTTGTGTCGAGATTTTAAAATAAAAGCTGTTTTCACACTCAAGGAGAGGATGAAATACAATTATTTGAACTAAAATTTCGGAAAAAGATTAATAGAAGTTCTGGTCCCTCTTCCGGTTACAAGAACCTCGGCAATAAAAACACCAGGACAGGAATCATAATTTACTGATTCGTTTGGATTAGAAAACAATACATTGCTAGTCAAATCTTGTTACAACAAATACCGTTAAAACAAATTTTTCAGTATAACAAACTTTCTTTCAAGTCCCGGCAGAAATCCTATAGGGTAAATGTTATAAAAATCTCATCACAACAAACTGCCAATTCCAAGTATAACAAACTTTTTTGAGGAACATTCTATGATTTCTTAATGAAAAATTCATAATGGAGGCAGGCACAGTCTCACATTTCCCATTTCAAATGTGACTGGTTCTTGGAACATAAGGAGGAATCAAGCAAAAAAATTCTTAAAAATTCACCTGAAAACCCCATCTTTCAAAGAGTATTCTCATGTTAGGAATGATAATGGTTTGGATGATCAGATGGAAAAAATGAGTGCAGCAATACTCATGTTAAAAAGGGTTTGTATGATTTAGAAATGCCAGTGATTTAAAAATTGTTAGCAATTTTGACACATTCACCCTTACAAATCTTTGCAGGAATTGCTTTAAAAAACTTTGAGTCAAGAAAGTGTGCTAGTATTTACCTGTTATTCAGAGTATCTTTTTTTATTTCAACATTACATTTCTTTTTGAAGATCAGAGTTCTTTAACCACTGAAAAACATCTGAAAAGGCCACAAAAGGAAGATGTTGAATATATGCAGGTCTAATTTGAAAAAAATCTTCCGATCAGTCAATAATTTTCAAAATCTCATAACAATTTATTTGCTACAACAAACTTTTTCTGAAGTCCCCAGAAGTTTTTTGTAACAAGATTTTACTGTATCTTATTTTGGAAGCGAATTACAGTAATTTTTACTATTTTTGATCCACAGTCACTTCATGAATGGCAAAATAACTCAACATCCTTGTTCTCATACAGCATATGAATGCTCCGAATTCCAACCCAACTCCTGAATAACCAGAAATCTAGCGAACCTAACCTACCATGAAGCTCAAAGAAGCTTTTAAACCTTCCGTGAAACCACAGTCGATACTAAGAACTGCAACACCCGAACAAAAAATGTCCTGATTCAGTATTGTACTGAGCCACAACTAACTGAGCATGATTTGTAACCCAACATAGATCAAGGAAACGAAACACATCAGCACTAGTATAAGAATACAGGTACTGTAGTTCCTCGGGTTTTTAAATTGGAAGATTGTCGAGTCGCATTAGTAATTCGAGAGCTGCAGGATAGTTTCAACAAGCATCTACAAGTAAACTTAAGATGGGAGATTTGATTCATCGAAATCGAAACTCTTGCTAAAAATTACAGCGAATTATCATAAATGAGCTTAATAAAAGACAGTTCGGCAATATTCCTGCCAGTTGATACACCCGAGCCGGCTCCTAAAGATCAGTAACATACTTTTGGCCTTGTCATATTGAACAAACGGAACGGTAACATCATTCCTTCAAAAACGAATGCGTAAATAGTTTGAAGACTACAAGAAGGGAACGCATATCTCCGTAATATCGGTACGATCAAAGGCAATTACTAGCAGAGAATTCCGCGACAGCCGCGTCTCTTAATGCAATTTCCACGCAAAGCTTGAATGCGAAATGATGCGCACATTTCAATCAAGCCCTGGCAGAACAGGGCGGAAGGAATAATTCATCAGGCGCCTTCGCAATCTCCCCATGCAAAATTGAAGCTCGCGGAAGCGAAGCTTTGCGTCGATTACCTAAATACTACAACAACCTGCTCCTGCGCTCATTTATTCAATTTGATGGGAACTGAATGCCGGACGTGTATTGATTGACATGTACAACCTTCTTCGCAAACAGGGATTGCAGGCGAAACCTTCAGGGATAATTCCCGAGAGCTCACAAGAAATTCACGAAGGAATTTCGTAGTGCCGGCAAAATCATTCCCGCTAGTTTCGGTTCGAAAAGCACGGCATAAATACGTCTAACAATATCTAGTAGGAACGTCCATGACTATGACAAAGTATTGATCTGATGAGAATTAAAAACTTACCCTCGTGACGATGACCATGGCGTCACCGAAGATGCCTTCCCGGAGGCTTCAAATCATGCGAAAATTCCTGGAGTACCTCGCTCAGCGAAGTACTATTTCGGAGATTCTTCAACAAGACTGCTTCACTGATAACGATTGCGTTATCTTAGTTTCGGAAGATAAGATACCGCAGAAAATCTAAGCACCAGCGTGCTGCGAAGCTCACGGTGGCAGTCGTAAAAGTTCAACGCTTCACAACCTCATGGAATGGACGGATTACAGATTCTAGATATATCACAGTCTCTATAGTTTGCGGACGAAAAGATTCAGTTCAAATGTGTTTCATGCACAGAGATTAAGAAAAAATAAAAACGCAAGGCTACCACTGAACAAACAACCTTCTCGTGCAGATGGAATTGTGAACTGCATGTGTCAAAGCAAAATTCTATACAGGCCGAATGCCAGGACACGTTCTCAATATCAACCCGCAGCGCACTATCTCTCGAAATTCCCGTTTCGGGACTTCGGGACTTCAGCTAGACCACCGGAAAGCTCAATACCGTTTCACGGCGCGCCGCCATGTTTTTTTTACCCTGCTTCCCTCTATATTTCAGCGATCCTGACATCTATCAATGCCACAAAGAAGCATAACTCATTTCTTCTGGGTGTAGAGCAGCATCAAAAAACTTGTCTGCGCCCGAGCTGTGACAGGATAGTGAGGTTCCTCGTGGGCAGGCGTAAATCCCTAAGCTCCCCCAGTTTACGATCTAGAGAAGTGACGCCACTTCTTCTGAAACAGCGTTAGAACGAACTTCCATACACTACAATCCACTATAATAAATAAATTAACTGTAGTCTCATTTTTATAGCGTTCACTTCTGAGAAGCAGAAGAAGGAATTTCCAGTTGATATTACCCGAACCATATCACCAACAAATGATAATTATCCACTCTTCTTGTAAGATACAATGCACCGAAATTGAAAACGCACACGGAAAGAGGCAAATTTCTTCGCAAACACAAAGCGATAATATTCATTCAGATTTCCATCAGTCTCGTACGCGCAACGCACGTAATGCAAACAGGTTCACCGCCACCTGCTCCATTCTAAGGCACGGTTATGATCCACCTGGCGAGTAATTCGTGAGGTAGACGACGCACATGCATTTTCAGTATACCTTGCAGAAATTCAAACTTTCAGAAATCTTGAACAAGAATTTTTAATGAATCAATGAAAGTCTGAATCTGAAAATGCATTAAATTTGTCCGCGATCGAAAAGTTTTCGATAACCTGGATAAATTACATTCGATTTGTTCAAGTAGCCCACATCTTCGCTTGCAGCTATCCGCCCAATTATGCTGAATATTTTTGGGGATAATGTATCATTCAGTAGGAGAGCATTTAACGCGGCCACAAGGATATTTTACATAGTCGATATTGTATAAATATATTTTAAATTGTAATTTTTGATTATTTAAATTGAATTTGGTAAGGGTGGTGATGATTTTTAGAATTTTATCAGAAACGCTCATCAAATCACACAGAACCGGAACAGTGAACCACCGGAAGATTGAAGGCAAATTTCAGGCATTGTGCCAGTTATTTGAGCCTGTCGCGTGCGATGTTGTGATGCTGAGATATGTTTATTATCTGTATCGATGTTATGACGAAATGACCGAGCATTTAGATTGGGTATTCCCGTTTATGTCAATTCACGTGTCATAACTAGTGGCGATTCTGCTAAAACCTGTCAACCACGTGGACGAGATTGGTATGAGTTCGTTGGGATTACGTGACCCATCATGTTAGGACGTAAAATTTGCCACTGTCAGTGATGAAGGGCTTGTATAATTTTGCAGAATCTCTTGGGATCGCTGAGTGAAGCGTTTCCTAGTATGGGTTGTTGCCACAGCTCTCGTGAAAGTATTGGAAGCGTTAGTGAACGCAAAGGTAAATATGTCCCAAATACGTCCGTACTTCGTTGGAAATATTAATTTTTGTGTGATTTTCCCAAGGTACACAGAAGAGCCGGCTGAGCACCGAAAAGATACGATGGAAATCGGATGTGCCACTGACATTTGGGCAGCTGGTTAGTAAGAGAGATGAATTTTGGGACACCGCTCCCGTTTTTGAAGGTCGAAAAGAAATTTGGGATGCACTTCGTGCGGCAGCCTCTGCATTTGAAGCCGAGGATTTTGATCTTGCTCAGGCTATCTTGGACGGTGCTAACATTATGTTACCCACAGGTAAGCTGGAGAAGAGTTGGAATCGGCGAGTATTTTGAAGAATTTGTGCATTCCTCCTATCAGGTTCGCTCGTCGAGTGCTACGATGAACTCGGCAATCGGTATCAGCTCCCGGTATACTGCTTATCGCACCCGCTGAATCTTGTGAAGGAGTCTCTCGATTCAGAAGATTCTCTGTCCGACGTAGCAGGTTTGCCCTCTCATTGTTGTGATGTGAAGACGTTGAACATAGCTTTCACATGGTATTTTCGTTAAATTTTCAGAACCTGAATCTTCAAAGGCAGATGTCTTCTTATGTTGTCGTCTGTCTTCTACTGGCAAAGATGATAAATTAGCTGTCCGGCTTTGTGACACCATAAGGATTGCCAAGCGACGCTTGCAGGTGAATGAAAACCACGAATCTCTGGTGTTACCATAGTATTAGCTAGACATGAGAAGAGTAGGTGTCAGGTATACCGTACTTTAACTGGAAGCACCAGAAATGGTGCAATGCGATAGCTTAAGAGCAGATGGGCGCATTGTGTGATGTTGGAATCAGTTGGCAACCTTGGTTCGATACTCGAATGGGACTTGAAACGTTTTGTAATCTGAAACCAGAAATTGTTATTGTTCTGCGCGCGTAGCTGCAACAGGGAATGGAGTATGAGCCTAGTTCTCAACGGTGGTTTTACGGAGGAAAGTTGCTCTCTGACAGCACTACAGTTGAAGACTGCAAAATTCCTGCCGGGCATGTGATACAAGTGATTGTTAATCTTGCCTCTCCACCGCAAACCATGGAAATGAGCTGCATGGGACGACGAACCACGGCTTCACTCATGAGTGACAATCTCGAGCGACCCGCAACTTCTCCTGCTTTAGATCCCATGACTCAAGTTGAAAGTTAGCAACGATTGGCTTCGGTGAAGTGCTTGGCAAAAAAAGGAAATCTTTACTCATAACAGAATATTTTTGTCGAATGCCGCGAACTTACTCAAATTTCAATTCGTCATAATCCACAAAATGTGGTTGTTGCCCAAGCGCTTCGAATAGTGTTGGGTAATGTGACAGTGTTCCGTAGGTTCTGAGTGGACTGGATTTTTCAACAGATTCCTGAACAGGTTGAGGAATCTTTCGGCAGTGAGTTTAAAATTTTTTTTCATCCTGTTTTTCGCTGAATGTGTAACGCAGGAAAGGGGTGAATTTGGTTATCGCGTTGAAATTTTTATCAAAATTGGCAATGAGGATAAATATTGATTTACATAAAGTGCCAACATGGCAAATGCAACTGCGTTTTGATGTATGAAAAAAAAAAAGAATACCTTAAGCCGAATCAACTCTCTTGCTATTGGACATCCCGCTCAGTAAGATGGGATTTTAAAACCTGGCGAGAACAGCCATGAAGCATTTTCAAAACCAAAGTACAGTACACTGTGATCGAAAGATTTCTCTATGGATGCAGGATTCTTAATTAAGTAGAACCTTAAGTAAAATTCAAGTCCATCCGGAACCTGATCAGTTTTCGTGCGGTTAGGCATTGCATTCATCCAGGAGTTACCCGCTGGTCGAATATCGAGAATTGGTTTGTTCACAAATTTTTGTCTGTGAATCGGAAAGGGTTCCTGAGAGGAATCACTGGTGCTCTTGTTGCGTCTCGCTCACCTATCCGAAAATATTCAATGCGCAATATCTCGAGCCATAATTTTCATATGGGCTCTACTCGAAAGGGCTTCCTGTGTGAAACTTTTGCATTGTGAATTTCTCGTCACCATCTGTGGTCACGCATGTACAAAAAAGTGGAAGAAAAAGATTGTATGTATTCGGCCGGATATCGGATCTATCTCTCCAGAGGCTATGTAATTCAAACTGTGGCCATTGACCTCTTCGATAGGAGAACAAAAACCGTGAGTGGATTCGACTTACATGCAGAACGAAAATATCTCATCGGAATTCATAGGTCGAAGTGGACGCGCAATATTTATTTCCAACTGTGCAATGATGACAAAGTTGAATCGTTTTTTTTTTTTTTTTCAATGTGCTAGTCCTGGGACAAAGAGTTTTTATTTACGGTATTCACATCCAGCTGGGAGTTTGCGGTGTTCTGGACATGGATCTCAATGTAATTTCATTCCACGGTACCGGCTTCAATCGTGTCGCCGAACGAGTGGCATGGAAGACTTTTCGTCTGTGTTTCTTGTGTAACGATTTGAGCTTGTTGGATAATACTACCTTCTGTCGTTGTTCACTATTTGATGAATTGAGGTTGATAACTTTTTTTTTTATTGTGGCTTGTGTGATTGACGAATGAAATTAACTCCGCGTGTGAGGTGTCGCGTAAGCCTTCTTTTTCTCGCATTGTTGGAATTGATTCGACGAAGATGGAATGAACCCCTTTGAGCTTCGACATTTCCGTTTTGCTTCGGTTAAGTTTTTGGAGTAATACGTTCTTAATTGATCCCCAACAATCTTAATCCCCTCTGTCTTAATATTCACTAAATTCTTCTTCATGCGATCGCTTGTCTAAATACTGTATTATGAAAGGTTAGCATTTTTCGACCAATTGTGTGTTAATTCACGTCTTTCGAATTTTTGCTTTTTGTTAAAGCCCAACGTCTAATAAATCGTTGTGCGGTATTTAAAGTTTCGTGAGTTTTCATTGTCAACTGTCCAGGAGCTCAAACGTATGCAATATTTGGATGAACCGATCATCGTTCCAACTTCGCTGAAAAAGATAATTTGAGATGCGAGGCTTTTCGAGGAATAGAATGTAATTATTTTGTTCTTGCAGGATGGTTTTTCCCCTTCGAATTTAACAGATTTTTCAAATGGGTGGTAAAGCTTGAAAATGCTAAAAAACCGTTGATCGCGTTTTAAAATTACTGGTTGAAGCTGATGAAAAACGAACCTGACGCCATGTGAGTCCCTTTTGTATCCCTCTGTTCAAATTTTTAATTTTGATTCGTCGTTTTAAATTTTCGAATTATTTACTGATTTATTTTGTTGGGGTGTGTCCATTGTATTCTTGAAATACGTACTTAATATTTTTCCAGATATCACCATGTTCAGCATTGACGCAGATGATGAAAGAAGTCAGTCAATCGAAGGCTGGGATTCCGAAAAATCCCCGTTGGAATCCCTGGCCGAAATAAAAGTGGCTGTTGAAAGTTCAGAACAGTACTTGAAATTCCTGGTTGAAGAGAAAAACAAAGTTGAAGCCCGAGTTCGGAATATTGAGAACCAACTGGTGAATTCTGTGCATAAATTATCCCGTGATTTGCTTTGATTCATTTCTGTGTGATATGCAGGATGAGAATTTCGTGAAGGGCTCGGAGGATTTGAAGAATCTCCTACAATCTTGTTTGAGTTTTCACTCCGATTTTGGTTTCCCGTCAAAAGTTTTTCGGAAGCAAAAGGAGGAATTTTTTCGGGACTTGGAAGAAAAGAGAAATGAGCTGGAAAAAGTGGTCGCCTGTGAGTATTTTTTATGTCTGTTTAACGGAATACCTGAAACCTGGATTAAATTTTCATCCTCGTGAGGAATGTCCGGCTTATGAATTGAACCGGGAAAATTTTCAATTGCTCCAATTTTCCATTCCCTGTGCCTAGTTTATTTCTTCGTTTTTAAAGCTTGTCCCATCCGTGAATTCTTTGCTATTTTCAGCTCCGCAGCCAGATGTGATCGCCTTACATTCCAAGTGGGATGAACTAAAGAGGGAAGAAGCTGCTTTGTTGAGGAAAAAAGCTACGCTTGAAGGGGAAACTAACGAAGTGAAATCTTTGGAGAATTGCTTGCAAGCATTAACTAAGCAATATGCCAGAGAAAAAGAGGCCGAACTGCTCGCTCTGAATCGGTAAGTATTTTTTATTTTCTCGTAATTCTTTCTTGCTCTGAATTGGTACTTTTTTTCGTGCAGTGAGGTATGAACACTACGAAGAGTACTGTGTCTGCTTTCACGCCTAGGCACAGTGCTAAAAGTACCGTTTGAAAATCATGAACGTCATGAGCACAAAAAAAAAAATTGTCTGGCCCTTGCCAGCTCACATGGCACAGGCTCTCGATGAAAATTTTAATTCACATTCAGAAAGAAAAGAATTCCAACATTTTTGAAATCTAGCATTACATTCAAATGCAAATAGAGCATATGAACGTATACCATTTTTAATCTGAACCTGGACTTGAATATTTTCATCTTTAATGTTAATTTTCATTTTTTTTTTTATGTTCTGGGTTTTTTCAATTTCCGTTCAAATTTTATCGAACATAATACAAACGTAATTGCGGATCAGAGTCCATTGAAGGTCATATTTTCCCGGCAAAAATACTTCATAGGTATTGCAAAATTTGAAGATTCTCAATATAATGACTGGAATTCAAACCAATTAGAAACCAAATCTTTCATTTTACAGTATTTTAATTGGCTATAAAAACCTTCACATTGAACATTAAAAAGTGAACACATCAATTGAAACTTCGAAAGGCAACTGAGTTTCCAACTGTTCGTGGCAAAATTCAAATTTTTTGCATTTTCAGGTTTTGCTGCTCCAATATCAAATTTTGAATGGAGTACGGGAGATGTATTCCTGTATTGAAAATACTTTAAATTGTGAAGCAAGTTTAGGTTGAATTACATTTTATTGATCGTTTGAGTCAACAACCAAATTGCTTTTTCCCTAATTTTTAAGAATTTTAATTTTGAAAATGATTGAATTTTCTTGACCATCATGTATTTTTCATATCTCTTCGCATATGTTTTTTTGCAATGATCGATCGAACTTCACATACATTTTAAGAATTTTGAGTTTGTCTTGGAAAAGCACTTCCAATGTATTAAGATGAAAAAGACTCCCCTTACAGTTCGAAGCCTATCGATTTTTTCGGAGTTGTTGAGTCAACAGACTGTCCTTCCATTTTGGGGCTTCATGCTTCACACAAGAAGTAACGTGCAGGCACTCTTAAAATTTTTCGAGAAATTTCTGAGTCACGTTCCTCATCCAAAATTCCACTGTTGAACGATCTAGGATTTTATGGATGAATTGAGCATTTTTTATTTTGATGAAAACCCAAAAACTTTGCCTGTACTGTATAAAACAGAAAAAAACCGCCCCCGAAAAGAATGCGCGGGATGCAAGGTGGGATGGAAAAGGAGATAAACCGTCTTCATTTTTTTTTCATGCTAATATTTCAAAACAGCGGCATTTTGCCCTTTGTGCCTGTCAAATTGCCAAAAAATATACCTTCTGTCGGCGGGGAGGTGCTTCTTTGTTTGCGAAATAAGAGAACCTTGGGTTCAAGGTACAAGTTCTTCGTGACTCCCGTAATTCACGATTTATTGCCCTATTGGAGGGGGGGGGGTGAACGATGAAAACATACCCCGCCAGCTGTGAAATTTGAGAATTCGTGGAAGACAGGATGTTCCAGCCGTAAAACTGTTCTGTTTGGAAGAGGGGTGCAAGATGGTTCTAGCAAAGAGGGGGAAAATAGTCGTCACCCCAGGGGCGTGGGTTGGGGTGATGGCAGTGAGGGTAGTTAGTCACTTGGACAGAATCACAGAAGTCGCGAATTCGTCGAGACTTCAGTTAGCGGGAGGTTGACTGAATTATGCGCACCAGGGTTTTGCGAGTGCCGCGCGAAAAAAATAAAAAAATGCCTGGAGCCAAGTTAGCTGAGCAGAATTATTTCTGCTGTGTCCGGTTTATATCCCTCGGGCTTTTCGAGTGTTCTCAGAATATTCAAGCGATTCCGCACAAGAGGATTAAAACATGACATCGGTGCTTTTCAGTGCGAAGTGTGAACCCAGTGAAACTGTACAGTATTCATGTCCAGCTACGCATGGGGAAATGAGAAAGAAATGTTTTTTCCTGAAGGAAAATAAATAAATCTCGGTTGCTTTGACGTATTTTGGACTCCGAGCTGCATTGCTTCAAAATTTAGTGAATTCCCGATATTTGCGTCAGGATTTCACGGGAAGAAGATTCCGTTAGCAATCTTGAGATTTTCGAGGCTATGTCCTGTTTTTGGAGAGGGATGTGTAAAAAAAAGGGGTGGGGGTGGGATTGATGAAGGAAGCCATTGCCGAACATTTGGGGGTTTTTCCATCCTAACTCAACTCAGAACCCGAGAACGCTCCCTTCCCACCGTCACCAGAAAAAGTTTTCGTTTTCCATCTTTTGCAAGGCCGAACAATGATTTTGAAAATCTGGATAAATTGGTGTAGATTTCGAAGGTATCGTTATGACGAATGCAAAATTTTTCTAACGCCTTGTTACAGAAAAGGTAATACAGTAGTAAAAATAAATAACGGAACTCGGGCAACCCTGACGTGTGCTGGAAAGTTGATGAGGATTGTCTTCGCATACAAAAGAGGAATTCTGGGAACGACTACGGCCCTTCGCTCTCTCTTCTTGGTTAATTAGGTGTGCAAATACCGTATTTTTGTCACTTGCTTCCATCACCTGAAGGCTTTGGAACTGATGGAAAGACGCTTGTCTGATGTTTATGTCCCAACTCCAAAATATTAGACTACAGTATTTGTTACATCAGCTGATTTGAAAGGTAATGAGGATGTCTTTTCCTTTATTCAACAAAAATATCCCGTTAATTCCACAAAGAAAAACACGAAAATATTCAACGTCCAGTTTAACTCGGTTGAGGCCCATCTTGCGGGAGGATGGGATTTACATTCGAAGGTCAGTTTCAAGGAGAGTGAAAGTGTAACTTTTCGCCACGAATTCTTCTCAGCTCATAATGGCGGACGAAGCGTGAAGATAATCTGCTACAAACCAGGCTTCATCTCCCTTCTCGTGGACCCTCTCAGCTTGACAAGGAAATACTGCTTTGTTTTCCCGGGGTTGTGTTCTCTTCTTTCTTGGAATTTGAAATTTAGAAACGAGTTCAACCTTGAGAAATTATTTCCTTCTTGTATAATAAAGGAACACGGCTTAATGTGTTCTTACAGACAACAGTATTCATCTGAATGTGTGATCTTTGTAATTGAAGCGGTGTGAATTTGAATTTGTAATTTTTCATGGTTGAGTGGGTTTTTCTGGTGTCAGTAATGCATCGGCTCTGCTCCTCTGTAAGAATAGGTCATCACTAAAACGAAAGCCAGTTGCGGACGCGGTGTTGAAGGGTACCCAACCAAAAGCCCCCCTGCCAAAAGCCCCCCCCCCCCTTCACTTAGTTTCATAACAGTGTTTGGTGGCTCTGAGAAGGGTACCGGGTCATGCGCCAGTCGGTCAATTGACGGTCGCGCACCCGCCGGTCGTCAAGTGCCGGTCGGTCTAACTGCCAGCCAGGGCAGTCCTTGGCCTTGCCAATCCCCAGTCCACCAAACCGCGGTCCGGTCACCCGATTGTTGGGGCACCCAAACAATTGGGTGACAAGAATCATGCTGATTCTTTCTAGAATTTGATGAGCAGAATGGTATTCTACCATAGATTATTATTTTATTTTTTTTACAAAATTTCATCTTATAAAAATTTTCAAAAAAAAACTTTTCAAACCCAACCTAACTTAACCTAACATATCCTAACCTAAACTAACATAACATAAACTGACCTAACCCAACCTAACCTGACATTGCTGAAATTTTGAACAAAAATCTGTGGTAGGATACCATTCTGAAAAAAAAAAATCAGCATGATTCTTGTCACCGGATTGTTCGGGTGCCCCGACAATCGGGTGACCAAACCGCAGTTTGGTGGGCTGGGAATTGACGAGGCCAAGAACTGCCCTGGCTGGCGGTTGGACCGACCGGCGCTTGACGACTGGCAGGTGCGCGACCGCGAATTGACCGACCGGCGGCTGACCGGACGCGGCGAGAAGGGCTGCTTGCTTTCATTAATAAAGTATAGATGTGTTGCATTAGTCCTCAAAATGACTGTTGAATAATTATCTTCAAAATTGCCTTCTGCAGCCTCTTCCTCAGTGTCACTGATGCTCTCAATGTCATTTTCTTCTCAATGTGACCCTCTTATCTCATCTCCTTCTTCATTAGCACATTTCCAGCACGTAGTAATGTACTGGCATTTGTGCTCTTAACCATGAATAAATAGCCATTGTAGTTTGCCTTTTCACCCCCTTCTGATTTTTGATGATCTGAAGTGCACTAGCCATTGGATCAACAAGGTGAACTGTAGATTTTGCAGAAGTCAGCAAGTGATGATGCTTTGACATTCAAAGAATCACTGATGACCACTGCAGGTGAGGAATCCCTTTATATACTCATCTTACAAACATACTGGTACTTGGCCTTATCCCCAATTTTTGCACCAAGGGTGGCTTTTGGCATGGGGGGGGGGCTTTTGGTCTACACCCGTGTTGAAGGGACCCGCGACAAAAATGCCCCCAGGGGTCAACAGGACCAATTGGTGAGGGAGTGATGTTCAGCTTGTTTTAATACATGTTTCAGCAGCTTTTATTTACAACAGCTGATGGAAAAATTGTAGACTGCTGCGTTTTCGATTTTTGTAAAGATTACTCATGTCATTTTCAAAGTTTTCGTGAACAACACTGTAGCAAGAACATAATATTCTAACCAAAAATACAATAAATTATGTCGCATTGATATTTTTAAGGATAGAATATTTATAAAATTGTGAGGCTTCTTCAGTCCATGTGTAAATCTCTGAGCCAACCGAACATCACATGTTGGGCCCACAATCCCGCTTACCCTGGGGACTTTTTGTCACGGGTCCCTTTCCCACACCCTTTTTCTCTGGTCCCTTTTCGTTGGGGACTTCTTTTCCGGGAGCGAATTCATCAGGGCAGAGTAAAATGCATGGTCGGTTTCCGTCTAGAGGTGGATGATCGACCGCAATAGATCAGTGATGTCGTGTAGTTCGTACTACGAAATCTTTGAATATTCTGTTCACAATGTTGACAAAAAGTGTTCTGACGAGTTTTTTTCTTCATTTTTGTAGGTTGAAGTTGGAATGGGATCGGGTCGTTAATGCTAAGCACAGAGCCCAAGGAAATACCCTAGCATTGGCGAGAATAGCTAAAAATCCACCGGTGGTTCCAAACCCGGGACCGAAACCACTTCTATGGAGGGAACAGAAAGCAAAAGCGAATCCTCTCAACGCTGCCATCGTCGTTCATAAGCCTGTTGAATCTACAGTTGCGTTGTTTGGCCAGCCTTCAGACTATGCAGCTTCGTTGCACGAGGTAGGTTGCCTTGAGTGGAATATGTGGGGAACTCTTTAATGTCAGTGAGATGGAAATTTATGTAAAAATCTTGAAAATATGTTAAAAAAAGGCATAATTGGTGCATCAAGAGTGTCTCTAAGTTGAAATGGCCCTTGGACTTACATTATATAATTTTTAATTGGTGTTTTATGGACAAAATACCATAATTCCATGAAAATAAAAATTGTCTCCCAATCAAAACTGATTCAATCAATATATTTCAACACAATATGAGCATTTGGGGAATTGAATGATACCTCTGTACAATACATAGAAATGTTGGCATTCTCTGTAAAAATAACAGTCAAGTAAAAAAGAGAGAAGGAAGTCCCTCTAAGCTGGAGGTAATTTTTAAAATTAGCTAATTGGATGTTAAATTGGTGAGAGAAAGGCTCAAGGACTTTTCTTGCATCAATTTTTGGGTTGGAAATATCTGTTTCTTGTAATTTGGATGGAAATTTGTTTGCAATTTTATCACAAAATGTCCCTTTGTCAAGTCAGTGTCCTCATGTCAGTCCTTTTTTATTAATTTTTCATGGGAAAATAAGTGTCCCTATGTCAAATTGTCCAAAAGTGGGGGTCTCATTGTATTTCTTAACAATTTTTTTGCCAAGACAGTATCAGTAATTTTCTGCCTATGTATTTTTTTACCCTATCATGGTAATTTTTTTGCAATGAACCTACACACAAGTTTTGCAGACTGTCAACAGTCAGCGGATTAGGGGTTTGGGAACACTGTTCTACATTTGGCTAAAGACTTTATAATCTGCTTGTGATTTTATAAACAAAAAACCTGCTCATGAGAAAATTGTGACCTGCAAGAATAAAATATTATGGTGAAGCTAGAATAAAATATAATCCTGATTGAAATTAAATCCAAGCTTTTTACAAACTTTTTAAAGTTTTTGATGCACAGGTGTGGCTGGGCACCTCCAGTTTGTTCAGTAATAATCGCACTGACTTCCAGTAAATTTACTGAAACATTTGGTGTGATTTAATCTTGTCCAAGCATTCGTAGCGTTTGCGTGATGAAAATACCTGTGTCAATCATTTCGTTTCCGCGGAGAAGAAAATTTGGTTCAAGTTGGGTAGTCGGTGCGCTGAGCCCTTTTCTTTTTAAACCCTTAAAAGCCTTGTTCGGCCACCTGTAGAAAAGCGCGCGCCAAAATTGACTTGAGCACCACTGCAATTTTTTTTTTCTTCAGAAGACAGCGGGAAAAGCAAAACCGAATGAACTAAACTCATTTGTTACGAGTTTAAAAATTGCGAGTACAGTATACATTTCCTTCCTGAAGCTAAATGTGCGCCTACCATCAATGGAAGCTCACCTAATTCAGGAAGTCCGGGAATTGAGTGGAATTCGCAACGACTACAATTTCTGAAAGTACCCATCTCAAAGAACAGAGTAAAAATTACGAATACCGTACAATTACAATTAAAAATGTAGTCCTTAAATTTTCGCATTTTCATGCGTTCAGTTCCAATATTTCAGCTCATTTTTCAAAGTAACCTTCGATCTTGGAAAGTATCGCTCCTGAAAGATGAGTCCCCTACAAAAATATACCAGGGAAAAGATAGAATATACGGATAGAAAAGAGACCCACAACAAAAAGTTTTCAGGGGGTTGTGGGACCAACAGGTGAGAGAGTGATGACCAATTGGATCAGAGATTTAGTTACACATGGACTGAAAAAACTTCACAATTTTGGAAGTATTTTATCCTTGGAAATATAGGTTTGACATATGTCTTGGAAGCATTGGTTAGAATACAGTATTGTGTTTCCACTACAAGTGTTGTTCATGAAAACCTTGAAAATGACACGGATAATCTTTACAAAAATTGAACGCTGATCAGGCTACAATGGTGCTATCGCCTGTTGTAAATATAAGTTGTTGAAACGTGTATCAAATGAAATTGAACATCACTCCCTCGCCCTTTGGTTCTGTTGAACCGCCTAACACGCATGGACATTTTTGTCGCGGGTCCCGTTACTGCTGGGTCCCTTTTTGTTGAGGACCTATTCTCGCTGAGCCGATGCATTACTGACCCAAGAAAAATCTGCCCAATCCTGAAAATTTACAAATTCAAATTTATATTGCTTCAATTACAGAGGTCACACATTCAAATCGATATTGTTCTGTCTGTATGGGCATACTATGTCGAGTCATGGTTAACTCATTTTTTTATGCGAGAAAAATTATTTCTTGAGGCTATATTCGTTTTTATATTTTAAAGTCGAAGGAAAAGGGCCGTTGATGAGAGATTGATTCATACTTTCTCGTCTGTATTGAACCGTAGACTTGAAGCTAAGCATTTCGTTTCGTCAGCAGTTTATTCCCGCTCCTCTTTGTAGGTTATTGAACTGACATTCACGTCAGTTAACGTTGTGTGACGGAAATTATCAACTGTAAACAAGGGTTTGAGTTACAATGATTATTGCATTTCTTCCGATGATGCACAGATTTTCCAAGAGCAAGAAAGTTTACGCAGGAAGTGGCAGGTCCATTCTTCGCCGCAGAATCTGGAAAGGAAGCGATGCAAATTCGAAAACAGCTCTGTTCGAATCGAGGAACTCCCCGACTGATTCCAATCATTCATGTGAAAAAAAAAGTTCAATTCCGTAATTTTTCGTTTGCAGGCTGTTGTGGGCACCGAAAGTGTTGCGTGTCTCGTGAGAATCTATTCAACGACGTGATCTTTGTTACTCAGTGAGAAAATTCGTCGGGACTCAAGTGAAGTCGTAACGATGTGATTTTTTTTTTTTTTATTCCGATGGCGTTGAAGGAGGGAACGTTTTGGTCAAATTTGAGTTTTCTCTGATTTTCTTATATTGTTCTACTGTACTAAAAATACAGTGGAACTGTATGTTGATTTTTTGCACCGCCTGTTTTCGAACTCGTTTCTCTTCGAATTTTCAAAGTTTTAGATCGTTTTAGTACTGTATCACCTTCTGGCAGTGTCCGATTACCGTTTATCCGAGTGTCGTAATTTTTCTCGCTTTGATCAGTTCCTGTTTACCCGGAGTCTCCGGTGAGCTCTGATTCGTGATGTTTGTCTAATGAATTTTATTTTGTCTTGGTTTCCAGGATCTGTGGATTGACTTGAATGTGGTCTTGTCATGAGCAAAATCGATGTGCGAATTCTGAAACCGTGCTCAGTATATTTAACGAGTTTTTCGGAAGTTTTTCGAGAATTTCTTTTGAATCATGACGTTCCAAAAAGAGGTGAGTTACTTCCATTGGCGTTAGTTTTTTTTTAGCACGCGAGAAAACTGCTTCTTCGAGTAGAGATTGTTAGTTTTGTGGTGGTGACGGGAAACAGTATGAGCCTTTCTTTCTAACATATTTTGGCTTTTTCGCGGAGCGTTTATCTTATTCAATTTATTGCTCCTATGTCTTGACCTCCGGATGGTGTTCAGCGAAGGGGATTGAAAATCTGAACCTGCGTTGTCTCCATTGTTGAAGCTGAGTGGAGAAATAAATGTGATGTGGATTCCGTGTGGTGCCGAGGGATCGTGCTGTGAGTGGATTGCTCTTTCTGGGATGGTTTGGTATTATTTTCAACAATTTTTTCGATTACTATCAAACCTTGAAGTTGAGCGTCAAGGGACCATAAGTAAAATTTGAGTTGGGGGAAACGAGCATTTTTGGGGGAATGAAAGAAGAACAGCAGGAAATAGTGATATTTTGGGCCAAAAATTTTTCCTTGAATGAGTTGACAGGAAGCTGAACTTGGAGGCATAGACTCATTTGACCAATAGGTTTTTCACTTCCTTTCAAAACACATGGACTTACATTTTTAATAATTTCATCTTAACTGTGTCAGAAAGATAATAGCCGAAAGGCCTCCAGAAAAATCGAGTTGTGGATGCTATAGCGGAAAGCCTTCAAGTTCGAATCAGAAGGTTTAATGCATGGTTCCTGAGGGAATTCAGACAGGGCCTCGAAAAAAAATTTACATGCATGAGGAGGTATTCGACTTCGGGAGGTTTGAGTTATCAAGGTTCACTGTAAGCAATTTATTTCTAAAGAAGAAATCTTTTGGGAGGGAAAATTGCTTTCATCAATTAATTTCAGGTCAGCTCCTTCCTTTGGTTCTAGAAAGTTAACACACTCTTCAATCTCCTAAATATTAATTACACTGTAAAAAAAATGCTTAAAATTGAGTTATTTTTTAAATGTCCATTCTATGTCCGTAAATAAAAGCTTGATTCAAAAAAAAGAGTTCTATACGAAAAAGGCTTTCCATCAACTCTTTTTCCTACGAATCCAACTTGGAACAAAGGTTAATGAATGATTTTAATTATGAATCGAGGTTCATTCATATTTTATATGAGTATTGTCAAAATGTTTGAATTAACCCTCTTTCGTTTGTTCTGCTCTTGGAGTAAGAGATGAATTTTTTGTTGTTGAGTATTATGAGGTCAAAGTTTTAGCTTCCCTTTGCGAGCTTCTGAAGACTGGAGTCACTGGACTCATCGCTTTTTCGTTGGCTGACACTTGATGCTTCAGTTCTGCGTAGTGTTCTCGAAAACTTCTCCAAGGTTGAGGATCTGATTCTGTTGTCTTGAGCATCTTGGTTTGTATGCAAAAAAAAAGACGGTTGAGAACCTGAAAACCAAATTAATGGCAGGATTCTTAGCGTTTTTGTAATATATTTATTTTATTCTCGTTTCACAGCGGATGAAGTTAGTCCCCGAGTCATTCCACGTATTTCGGTCAGCACACCTGATGATGCCATTGCTGAGAAGAGGCGGGCTGTAGATGAGTGGCTGGAAGGCTGCTCTCAGCTTCGGAAACGAAATTTCAGCGTATCGCAGTCGTCATTGGAAAGCTCTGACTCTGGTTTTGCTACTGATGAAAATTTAAGACGAGCTTTAAACTGTCTTCCGGTTGAGATACCCTCTCTCGACCTTTGTTACGATGGAAATGGTCCACTGGAAGAGTGGAAAGATCTGGTCAGGAGTTACCTTGCGAGAGCTGGTGACTTTCATGTGCACAATGTGGAATCCGTTCGCAATCTCATGACAACTCAGGAAATTTACAAGGTTGGTGTTTGATTTTTTGGGTTTCGTTTTCCAGAACGTTTTTCCATCATCTATATGACGAAATGAAGTATTGAACTATTGTATAATTTTTTGTCGTCATTCTTGGTTTTGATTTTATCTTGTGCATCTTGCAGTTGAAGATTGGTAACTTTCCCGCGTTGAATCGTGGCATCTTGGAATATTTTTTGGCCTAAGTGGGTCCGAAGTTTGAATGAAAATCTATTAATGATGATTGGCATAAATTCTTGTATGATGATAAGACCTCTTTACTCTATGGCAATTTGATTCCACGCATTCCACTGGGAGTCGAAATTAAGAAAAACAATATTTTAATCTTATTTTACTCGCTGTCTATTTGAATATGTTCTTTTTCTTCGGGCTCAAGTATGGATGGTGTCTGATTTTTGGACGCCGTTAGTTTTACTCCCACTTTCGCACGCAATGCTGCGAAGAAATATTTGTGAAGATTCTTTCAAGTAGATTTTGTATTAACTGAGTTTCCAGTCTCACAAATGCTGAAGAGACGTTGGCTGTAACGGTAGACGCCAAGTGTAAATTGAACGCAGTCCAAGACGCAATACAGTTTTTAATGCTCTTCTGACGCTCTTGGTGACAGGCTTGCTTTTTGGCGAAGAAATCACAAAGATTTGGGATTCGGGTTCCGCTTTTATGGCTTTTCTCCCAAGACTAATGGAGCATTCTAACAAGCTTGCTTGTTAACAAGCTCACTTGTGGTTCAGGAGGGAGCCAATTAGTTTTTCAACAGTTACGCTACATTGCAGGTGCAACCGCGCGTTATTCACAATTGTTTCTCTTGCAAAAATGTACAAATATTTCCACAAATATTGGAATTATTTCCTTTCTTGGAATATCTTTAAAATTTGTCTGATTTTTGCCAGCAGTTTGTTTTTCTCCTAATTTTTCACGCAATGTTGCATATAAATATTTGAATTACAGTATTCTCTTTCTCGGATTTTTTTTATTAAATTTTCAATCCACTGGTTTCTCTACAACGTTTGTGACCACCAGTAATGTATCATTCATCAATTTTCGTGAAATTAATTCCGAGTTAACTATCTTTCACAATACGGTACTCGATCGTGTGAAGTTTCAGGCAGTCGAGGTGTCTGTTATTGACTCGAAACCATCTGTGTTGGGCGTTGAAAGTACTGTTCAGTGTTAACAGTTTCATGATTGCCACTTCAGAGTATCAAAATGAATTACTGGAGTGAATGGTTGAGGATTGAGAAGTGAGTTCAGATCAGTGGAGAATGCTTCGACGAAGGATCGATGTGATGACAAAATATTCAAACGTCTGACGTAAATATTTTTCTAGTCTGCGCGCGGAAAAAAGAGAAGTCACTCATATTTTGAAGATCGTCGCCGTTAAGTCCAGGCCTTCAGCTTGGGAGAAGTTAGCCTTGTTGAATTGACCAGAAAAAAAAGGAAAAGTTTATTCTCTATGCATTTCTGATTTCACAGTGCACTGTGAGGGAAGGGCCGGATATGCTGAGGGATGCCATCAAGTTTGGGGAGACGGAAATTTTGAAGAATTTCTTGGCGATCGGATTTGATCCGAACGCCCCGAACCATTGTCAGCAAACGTTGCTGCATTATGCTGCCCAATCTGTGGATGCTGAGGAATACTTACGGGTTTTGCTTGATGCTGGGGCTGAGAATCGACGTGACATGAAGTCCAAGTTTCCGTACCATTACTTGTCCAGAGACGAGAATTCCGTAAGTTTTTTTTCTTTTCTTCGAAATGATTGCAATTGGGGCATTACTTGAACACAGAGGATGAAATTTAAAATTCACCTTGCTTATGTGTGGACAAAAATGTTTGTCAATCGCTTCTGATGAAACGCCGTACATGTCTAGATTTGAATTTTTTCTTTCCTTCTATGCTTTTCAGGGAAGCAGCGTTCGATGCAGAGATCTCCTGGTGAGTGCAGTTTTTCCTTTTATAAACTGTGTTAAATATTTGTTGATTTCTGCCTGAAGTACCTTGTTTAGCCTTGGATTTAGGGTGGGGTCCCAAAAAACGTACGATTCAACTTCGGGAAAACTTGACTCAAAAAGTCTGCTGCAAACTTCCGAATGACGCCTCGAAATACGAAAAATAACGCGGTTTTGCCAACATTTCTGGAAGATTAAAAACGTTAGATTTTTCGAAAGTTTAAAGACTGTTGAATGAATTGCCCTTCAGTATTTCAATGAATAAACATGCAAAATATATCTTGATACAGTATTTCATAATTGTAAACTAGCTAATTTTGTGTTTCTCTTTTTAGACCATCTACTTTCAATTGTTTACGTACAGTGTATCAAGATATGTTTATTTTTGGCTTTTTGACTCATTTGCTTTCCAGAAAGCGGATTTTGTATGGTTTTCCTTCCACAAAGTTATTTTCTGCATCTTGAAGCTATGGATATTTTTATTCCACTTTTGAAGACATTTTTAAAATTTTTGTCATAAGTACAGTATAAGTGGTTGAAAAATATTTCACATCTAGGTCTATGAGAAAACATGATTAACATGCAAACCTTTTCACGTAGGGGCAAGGTCCAAGAAGTAATTATGTCCGCATCTCGGGGCGCACTGTAAAAGAAACGCAGGATTATGCGTCATCCAAAGGGATTTTCTCCAGTAATTTTGTCGAAATAAACCATTCGAAGTAAAATGTCAGCAAAAGCACAAGTTGTGTATGCGAAATTAGAAGTACTGTATTGTAAAACAAATTTCGTAGCATTGACTGGTTGTTTGAAAAACTGGCGGGCTGTTGCGAAAATTCATTTTTTTTGAAATCACGTTTGGTGTGAAATTGCATTTTATGCGTCGATAAATAGATTATCAAGTGTATGAACCGAATGCAAAAATTATTTGCCGTGTTTCTCCATTTCCCTTTCAATTTTCAACATTTATTTCTGGTGTTATTTTTAGTTCCTTGTGGAATGCACGTACGCCGAAATTCAGAATAAGTGACGAACAGAATATAGAAGTAAACCTTATCAGCCACCTAAAGGTTACGTTTTTTTATCTAATGTAATAAACAAACGAAAAAAGCAATCCAATTGAACTCGCAACCGTTTACTGTAATTACGTAATTATTTTCTGCGTTCATTCTTAATGAATCCGAATTTAATGATGAGTGTCTTCTTTATTCTATTTTCGCTGGTTATTTTATATAATTTCTGTTCGTCTGTCTGACGTATGTCACTGTAATGCATTTTTTATTCCCCCGCTATTCCAGAAAGCAAAGAAGAAATCTTCTTTCTTGCAATTGGTCGCATCCGGAGATTGGAAAAGCGTTAAGAGTCGCGTTCGTCGTCATGGCGCAGTGACTGCGTCGGAATGGGACGAAGTGAGGGACGACAAGAACATATTTGCATGGGCGGAAGAACTGGGAGCTGGAGAACGACTAATCGCGGAATTGAACTTCTTCAAGGTAAGCCACGGAAAAACTTTTTTATTTTGTTTTTTCAAGGAAATCGGATTTTCTGAGGATCACTTTTCAACGGAAACTTCGGGATTTTTTTTCTGCTTCGTACCTTGAGTGAAATTTCTGCGGATGTGCGTCAAAACGGATTTGGAGGGTTTTATAATCTACTGCTTGGAGAAAATTACGCAAAATTGTTTTGTGACGCAGTATTTTTTGGACACCTCTTGCCACTGGTTTCACCCATGGAAAGTTAGATGCTGGACTGAGCTTTAGTATCTGATGAGAAATCAACCGATTCACCGCCAGTAGATCGATTTAGTTCTCTGGAAACTTGTGTTGATACCGTTTCAAGCCGTTCTACAGAAATTAAGATGCATCCGGTTCTTGTATAAGCAAAAGGATTATGGGACATAACGTGGTCCAGTTGTAAATTAGCATGTCGCCTCAGTCAAAGATTCATGCATCCTTGAATTGCTACAAGCTGACAATTTTTCAATTATTTATATTTTCAATTCCGAAAGAACTGAGAGAATTGCTCGATTATTTTGTGTGTCGCGAACAGGAAAATTTCCTGATTTAGACGCATATTGACAAAATTTGCACAAATATGCAAATATGAGCACCCCTAGTTTTTGAGCCTCTGAAATTGGAGAATGGGGTTCGTAACTCGTGAATGCGTTACATTTATCTCACTTCGCAGTACGATTTTTTACACCCGGCATTTCGTATGTCCGAAGTTCTGTGCGTTGTAAAATGAATCTCCTAGCGATGGCTCACGAGTCGAATGCTTTAATCTCGGTTCTACTGCTTGGAGAAAATTACGCAAAATTGTTTTGTGACGCAGTATTTTTTGGACACCTCTTGCCACTGGTTTCACCCATGGAAAGTTAGATGCTGGACTGAGCTTTAGTATCTGATGAGAAATCAGCCGATTCACCGCCAGTAGATCGATTTAGTTCTCTGGAAAGTTGTGGAGATACCGTTTCAAGCCGTTCTACAAAAATTAAGATGCATCCGGTTCTTGTATAAGCAAAAGGATTATGGGACATAACGTGGTCCAGTTGTAAATTAGCATGTCGCCTCAGTCAACGATTCATGCATCCTTGAATTGCTACAAGCTGACAATTTTTCAATTATTTATATTTTCAATTCCGAAAGAACTGAGAGAATTGCTCGATTATTTTGTTTGTCGCGAACAGGAAAATTTCCTGATTTAGACGCATATTGACAAAATTTGCACAAATATGCAAATATGAGCACCCCTAGTTTTTGAGCCTCTAAAATTGGAGAATGGGGTTCGTAACTCGTATTACGCAATGTAAATAGAGTGAAGCGTCATGCTAAAAAATGTGGGCCGTAAAGCATACAGGCTTCAAGACACGCAACATTTTACTTAGAGGATCGCTACCGAGTGCTCAGCTTACGAAATTAGAGCCTACTGTATATTCGTTTTGTTTTCAGGGACTCTCCGTCAACCCTTTGAGCAAGAAAGAGATTCAGGAAGTGAAAAGAACGGCCCAGGAGACCTACAAAAGACTGAAGTTTTTCGTCGACACGTCGGATCCCCAGGAATGTCCCAAAATCTGCGACGAAAGTCCTTTAATGAGCCGCCTTGTTACCAGCAGTGACAGCGATAAAGACGCGTGGGCCGACACGCCGAAGAGCCTCTGTCTTCGAGGTTCGTCGCGTAAACGTCGTCTCATTGCTGCTACCTCATCCCCTGTGGCGACCGCAGAAACTCCGCTGAAAAAATCGGCACGCGGATTGTCGGAGAGAAGAAAATCGAAGCGTTTGTTTTGTTGAAGTGGGGTTGATCTTCGTTTTTTATTCTATTTTTTACGATCGATGAAACTGTGTTGAAGTGGCTTTTTTGTTCGTTGCGATTGGCGTTATTTAATTTTCAGAAGCGGTTTTTTTTTACGTTTTGTACCGCGCGTGACTTGGTGCGTGTTTTAAAATTAATCTGTTTCGGTCGAAGTAGAAATCTTCGAGTCACTGCGTTCGTTCAATTCTTCCATGGCTTGGCGTTTACCTCAAAACTTTTCAATCATCACTTCGTTCCCTGCGACGAAAAATTTGCTTTCAGAAAACTTCATATTTTTCTACTTTTGCAGCTTTTCAGGATAGTACTGACAAATATTTCCTGTTTGAAAAATAAAAAATGCTGCTGAGCACGTTTGCTGTGGTAGTTCTGAAGGTTTGACCATTTTTTCACGTTAATCTTGTTTTTTTTCTTGTGGAGAAAAACACTTGAAATATTGCATTCGATGTTTCTTGGCAAATTTGTTTTTCTTGACTGTATTTGAATGCGTTTGGAGTTTGAGTTTTCCGCGTTCCCTCGATTTTTCCTCTGTTTCTTCCGAACAAAAATTTGGTATTTTATGGGTACAAAACCGTTGTGAAAGTCACCGGACAAAATTTCGAAGCGACAGCAATGCTTTGACAAAGTTTTTTCTTTTTGAAGTCTAGTGAAATGTCTGGTCTCGCGAGAATCAGTCGTGTTTTTCAATCGTGCGGTTTTTTTTATACCCTGAGTTCTGAACGAGCGAATCAACTGCTAGAAGCAGGCACAAGAAATGCGTTGACGAAATTTGATTGAATTTTGATTCTGAAAATGCTGTGTGCGGGAATAACATTTTTCTCGTACTTCTCAGGCCAAGTCAGGTGACGTTAGGAAAGTGTCGTAAATGGAGCCGCGTCAGTCTCCGAATTTCGAGCAATGGGTTGCGGAACGAACTGTCTACGACCTCGCTGTGACCAAGAATGAGAGTTTGGTTAGAGCTATGCTTCGGGTTCTGCGTGACCCTTGGTGAGTGAAAACTAGCGATTCTTCTCACTTCAACCTCCTGATTTTGCCCGCATGTGTTTCACCCTTGTTTTCTCTGTCAGTAATTACGTTGGGTTTGGTTAAATCAGCTGAATGATTCAAACGATATTGAGTTGAATCTAAAAATGACGGGATTGAAAGGTCGGATGAACTCCCGATGAATTTTATCCCTATGTTCTGAACCAGGAAACATACCGGGGTTCTGTAGCTCTCCGCTTTACAAAATGAATCCATTCATTGATGAGTTTCTTGATGCTAATTTTTATTGGTATTTTTGAGGGCTTTTTCCCTCAAGATTATATTGTACAGTAATTTATTTTTAATTGGTTTCAGCCACTGACCATGAAACCACACTAAACCGTAAAATTTTTGTACAATACTTTTCAACCGAACGTTGAGGATTGATTATTGTGAAGCATGAAATTGAAGTAGTTCTGACAATTTCAGCTCTTAACTTCCTGAATTTCCCAATTTTTAAATACTATGCGGGAAAATTATGTCCCTCTTTTATCATTGCCCTTAATTTTTGGAATCAAGAGAAGAACCAATTAAATGTGCAGTACAGTACGGTATTCTGATTGGAATTTAAGGGAAACGTGATCCGGCATGCGGACAGTCCAATACAGCTCGAATTATTTTGCGTCCGCGTCTCGGTGGCCCTTTGCACTTTTACCTTTTCTGCTGTTCTTTTTTTTTCGCCCTGTAGAAATGCTGTATTCGAGTTGAAAGCGATTATTGACGTTGAATTGTATTTCTTTCGTTGAAAGGTACGACGTGAACAAGGACGAAAAGTCGCAGCATGGCAAGGCCACGTGCTCGCGTGGCCCGATGCTGCTGCACCTGTTTGCTCGCAACGGCTGGACTGACCTATTCCACGAATTCTCTGCCCAGTACGACATGTCCCCGGACGTGGCATCGCCGGACGGACCCTGGTTCACTCCGCTCTTTCACGCCCTCGCCGAGGGCCACGTGGACATGGCTGCGTCTTTGGTCGCCAAAGGAGCCGACGTTACCCGACACGGGAATCCCTACGGCATGCTTCACGCCTTGTTGGGCAAGTCAGGCGTCGAGTTTGACAAGGTCCTGGAAACCATGGTTGGAGCTTTGGCGCAGAAAGTGCGAGGTGGGAAGAACATGGCGACGTCCATCTGGGACCTGGCTGAGTGGTTCACTGCGTTTGCTGAACGATTTCCTGGCAAGATCGGCGACGGCACTCCGCTGTTCCATTCGCTGAAACGTAAATTACTGTATATATTATTCGTATCCTTACTTGTGTCCTTTGAAAAAAAAGTCGTCCAGCAATTCTTCGTGCTTGAGGAACGAGGAGTGGCAATGTTGGAGAAGGTATTGCAGTATCCGCATTATTCATGCTGCCAATGTTGGAAAATGGCCGGAAATCTAAATGAAATGTAACTGAAAATTAGGTAAGGCAACCGAAGGTACAGTATTTCAGAGTATTCAAACTGGTTTCAAGTTTAGTAAATCGAGGTTAGTTCTCAACCTTGAGAATTTGTTCCATATTTGAAAAAATTTCAATGCCGGTAGACTCATCAAAAAAAGTATACTTCAGGTGAATTCTATTCACAGCGAAATGTAAGGGGTAGAAGAAAAATGCGTTTTAGAGAACACTTCTAACAGGGGAAACCCCATGGGACCCACAAAAAATTTGTTATACAGAGAAATTTATTGTATACAAGATTGTTGTAGAATAGTAGGGAAAGTCCACCTGTACGATTTCCTCTGTATGACTTTTTTTCCAAGCCCAAAAGATGTTGATTAAAGAAGAACAGGAAACTTAAAGCGGCAAAACATTCAAGTGGACATCAAGTTCTCCTAGATAGCGAAATACTCTGTAAAACCACACTTTAGATAGGGGTGTAAACTAAAGATTTGAGGAAAATCTTGTTACAATTAAGTTGTTATGACCTGCGAAAAAGTTTCGTTATAACGATAAATGCGCAATGAAGCAATTGGAATAATATGTTTGCTATTGGGCATGGACCTGAAAAACAACTTGGTCGTAACCATTAATGAGTTTTTACTGTAATTACGGGGCAGTAATTTATTCAGGGGGGGATTTTAAAGCTTTCCTCATTTTATTGACTGACGCCATTCTTTCCTTATTTGGGCTTGTTTTTTACTTCCTTTAATCGGTGGGACTTCTTGTGTAGGACCCTGAACGAGGATGTTTGATTGCAAATGCGTTCAGTGATTGATGGAGAGAATCCATCCTGCCGGTAACTAATTTTAAATCGATGCATCAAGTGTCTGCGGATTTGGGAAAATGATCGAAATATTTGAGACTGAAGTATTTCAGTTGAGGATATTTTTGCTTTCGTGGTCATTGTATTGCCTGATGCATACAGCCACTCCAAAGANTAATTTTAAATCGATGCATCAAGTGTCTGCGGATTTGGGAAAATGATCGAAATATTTGAGACTGAAGTATTTCAGTTGAGGATATTTTTGCTTTCGTGGTCATTGTATTGCCTGATGCATACAGCCACTCCAAAGATTTTTCTGCTAGAGCATAAGTCGAGGGTGAAATATTTCTGTCACGCATCAAAACCCTTTTCTTGAATTGTTGTGGAGTCATTTGTTGGTGCATGAAACCAATTCACATTTGAAGAGATTTCGCGTCAGGGAAGACTTCAAGCTTTCCATTTGGAGCACTGATTTACTTATATTGCGTCCACAGAATCCGTCTCGGTTACGGTGCAGAACTTGTCCAAAGTGCGGAAGGAAGACTGGGATAAATTCTGCAGCCTCCTGTGGGTTATTTCCGGAAGCTCTGAGCCACCAATGGTTGTTGCTGCTAAGGTAACGAAAGTCGATACTGTATTCTCGAAATTATTTTTTAGAATCTTCCAAATTGAAATAAATCTTGAAATGGAAACAATTAAACATTACTTTAATTCAGATTCATCCATGTCTAAATGCATTTTTGGGTTTTCTCATGATTGAAATATTGAGGTTTTAGGGTCATAAAAATTGATTACGTGTTTTTCTTGGGGATACAATTTTATCAGAATTTTAGAATTAAAAACCCTTGTGCGGGTGTTATTGAGGGCGTGTGGTACTCAAGTGATTAGGGTAATACTATTTTGATGAAGTAATTTTGGTTTGCTCTAAGGGTGCAGTACCAAGGAATACTTTACAGTAGTGTTCTGTCTTTCAATTTATTTGACAATACGGATTTTTGATGTCGTATGGGTTTTGCAGGCTGGTTCGATGAAGGGAACGATGCTGTTCATGGCTGCGGGCTTCCATTGCGGCATTCTCGACGCCGGCACTTCCGGCAGGACGCCGCTGATGGAAGCCTGCGCCGCTCTTGAAGATGCGGAAGAGGAGGAATCCAGGCGTTTGCTGGGAGTTGCGAAGGCCCTGCTGGCCATTGCGCAAGTCAATCCGAATCACGTTGTGGCGTCGGGATCGGATGCGGGAAAAACGGTGCTTCACATCGTGGCTGAGCTCACGGAACGTCCTGCGACTGTGGCCATGACTGGACTGCTTCTTGCCTACGGGGCTGATCCTGCCATTGGAGGCACTGGACTGATTAAGTTGCTGGTAAATATTTTATTTTTTTCCCGCGCTGTTGATATTTGTAATACGGTTGAGCCTCCCGAGGTCGATTTTTTTTTCTCAAGTCCCGGTCTGAATTCTCTTGGAAAAAATGTACGGTATTCAAAACCTGTCTAACTTGAAGGCTTTTCCTCTTGAAACTCCACAACTCGAATTTCTCAGGCCTTCTGGATGTTATTTTCTTGACACAGAAAAGCAACAAAAAAGTAACAATGTTTTTTGAATGGAAGTGAAAGACCAAATGGGCAAATGAACCCTTGCCTCCAAGTTTGAAATCCTTTCAACTCATTTGAGAAGCTATTGAAGGCCCAGAATATCACCAATTTTAATTTCCTGTGAATCTTCTCTCTTTCCCTCTTAACAAAAAGCTCGTTTCCAACCTCCCTGGTTCGAAAAGAAAATTTTTTCTGGTTCCTTGAAATTCAACTTGAAGATGTTCGACTGTAATTGTGTAGTTTTCCAGTTTCACGAATGCTGACGAGACGCTGTACGTAACGGTAGACGTCGAATGTAAAGTGAACACAATCCAAGATGCAATATATTTTTTTAATGCTCTTCTGACGTTTTTGGTTCACCGGCTTGCTTCTGGCGAAAAACTGACCGAAATTGGAAGTTTTGCATCCCTTTTTTTATGGCTTTTCCGAAAGACTAAAGAGCATGCTATCAAGCTCATCCGTTGTACAGTAGGAAGACGATTAGTTTTTCAACAAGAAGAATTTTATTGACTGCTCCCAAATTTAACGGAAAATCACCGAGAATTTGCTCTTGTCGAGCGCTGGATTTAAATTGTATGCTGTTCCGCAAAGTTGAAACCTTACCGCTAGATTCAGCTTACCGTATTTTCAACTACTCTTCTGCATGTTTTTTTGTTCATTTTTAAGTTCAGTGTGACAGTTACCGATTGGTTGATCGAAATCTCTTTTTTTTTCTTTTTTCGCAGCAGGACAAGAACAAATACGTGCGTCCGAACTCATTTCAGCTCGGCTAAACTGGACTGCTGCCAAAAAAAGAAGGGAAATATTCGGAACGCTGCGAGAAGGGGAAAGCTGGCGAGTTCAAAATGATTTGAGGCAATATGATACTTGAGAAGGTCTGGAACTGTTTGTGAGCATTGATTTCGAGAGGGGGGGGGGGTTTGTTTTTTTTGCGGCGGAAAGGCGGCCTCTCGACACTCTCTGGTTGTGAGCAGGGCGTACGTTAATTGTCGCGTTTCCGGTAATTTTTTGCGTGTTGTCCGCTGCGTTTATTTTATTTTTGTTGTTTTTGTTTTTATCCCCCTTGGTTATTGCACGGAAGGTGAAGTATTCGAAATCAAAGGCTAGTTGAACGTGTGCACTTAGAATGTGACTTGAAAATTGACATTTCCACCGGATTGGCGAGTGACTGGTCGGCGTGAGTGTGGTTCAGTGTTCATCGATTCACGTACAATTGTTTTTTAGTGATCTTGAAAAAAGTCTCTGCGGATGATCGGGGCTGGCGAGGAGGAAATCCGTGTCATCAGGACAAGACGTGATAAAGTTCTTGTTCTTGCCTTTGGCCACGAGCTTTACTTGTGCCTGTTGTGTACGTAATGCTGTTGAAATCGGTGATCTTTTTTCGAGTCCGGTTGGTTTCATATGTGGGAAGAAAAAAAGAAAGAGAGAGAAAAAAATCGTCGCCGAAGGTGATGCGAATCTGAGGGCACTTTGTTGAGAAGAACTGGGTTTCTTGTTTTGTGACGAATCGCGTGTGATGCGGAAAACTTGTTACGGTTTTTTATGCGTAAATACGTGGCAGAAACGAGGCCAGGCTTTTTGGAGGGTGGTTTTTTTTTTTTTTTATAAAAAAATCAGAGCTTGTGTTCATGGTGTAGGATTGCTGTCATTTGGGCCATGAATGTGCCGAATTTTTTCAGATCATCGTCGGGGAAAATAAACCACTGTTTGTTCTTGCTTTTTACATCGTGTGCTGATCAAGGCTTATTAATTTCATGTGCTCTCTAAAAGGCTGAGAACAAGATTTGTCAACTCTTCTGTGGATTTTATACATTTTCACGCAATGTGATGTTTGCCAGCGACCGTCTGGTTTGGAGTAGTGTTTTTTTGAAACTTGTTGACTCATGGAAATGATGGAACCCGTCCCGAATCGATTCATGTTACAGGGCCTCTTTTCCAGTGTACACAATTATGGCAAGTACAGTAAAATGCAGTACTGAGTACAGTATATAACTGATACAAGCTGACTTGCATATACTGCAGGAGAAAAGGGGGGGGGCTTTTGCCTTTAGGTACGTGGAAATGCTGTATTGTACAGTATTTTCAATACCGTTTTCTTTAGAACTTCCATAGCAAGTTTCTTTCAGGCTCTCACAAATGTCCATGGGAGAGTTACAAGTATTTTATACAGTAAATAACACGCCAAGGCTAGTAATCCAATTCTTTCAAGACGTTAAACCTCTTTAATTCGAATTATACTGTGTGAGGGACAGCAGAAATTGTGATGTGGTGAGATACATTAATTTTGCATCTCGAAAAACTATTATTTTTACCTTGAAGAAGAAAAATTACAAGAAGTTGAAATGAGTGATCTTTTTGGTCTGAAATGCCCTCTGGAGAAGTTTTCAGGATGCTTTTTTTTGTAGGCAAGGGTTCATTTGCCCAATTATTCTTTCAATTTCTTATGAAGAACAGCTACATTTGTTTTGCTTCTCTCTTTACTTCAGTATAATGGGTCCCGAAAATAATCGTAAAAATGCCCTCAGAAGATTTGAGTACTGAGGCTTGAGTGCTAAGCTTTTATGTTTATCAGGGTGATTTCTGATGCATTGTTTCTAAGTGAATCCAGACAGAAACTTTGAAAAAAATTGACAAAAAGAGGTACAGTACTCAGTAATGCATTTGACTTCAGGAGGTTGGATTTATTTATGATACAGTACTGGGTTATTCAAATGTTGTATTTGCTGCGGCGTTGTATCGTCACAGATGAGCTCCTATTATATTGGAAATCATAATGGGAATCTATTACTGAATTAAGGCAGCAGAACTTTCTAGAATAACCAGATCACTAAATCGAGAACTTAATCATCGGCTTTTAATAGAATGGAGTAGAATCGAGTCGGGAAGGGCGAAAGGGCTCATGCCTTCTTCATTCAGAGTAATGGTGAGATCTAGGTTTATTCTAGGAGTCAAAAGACTGACATCTATGTCAATTTCACACATATGAGTTTCTGCTTTGAAGCACGAGTTGTCGACTCATGTCAGGCGTAGGGGTATGTCGCCCATTTTCTGCAGCAAGGTAATACAGTACCATGTACAGTACTATACGTTGAAGTTGCGAGCGTGTCTGAGTGAAACATGTGTTTATTAACGGTGCAGTTGAAATTCAATTCTCGTTATTGATACGAAAAAGCCTAAGTCTCATTCGTCACGGAGTGAACGATGTGATGATGATCTTCTGTAGTACATTTTGTGAATGAAAGACTTCAAAATTATTGTAGATCGACGGTGAAGTCCTCAGTCGCTGTAGTACTGAATCTCTGGGAATCGGTGCCTTCGTCTGTTCAAACTTTTTGAAGTGAAACACAGTTCTTTGTCACAAATACAATACTTTAGTAAGCTTTTTGCATTGACAATGCATCAGGTCCAAGTGAACGCCGTCCGTGATCGTGACTTCGCTAGACCTCGTAAAATCATGGGTTGGGGATTTGTCACATGTGGTCCAAATGAAGCGTTAGTCATTTCAGGTAAGAAAGCGAAGTACCGTTGCAGCCTCGAGAAACTGTGGAATATGCGTGTTATTTTTTAACAGGATGCTGTTATGCGAGACCACATCTGGTTCCTGGAGGACGTGCGTTCGTCTGGCCTGTCATTCAGCAATTCCAGAAGTGAGTGCGGTCACTGTAGCTTACAAATTACACTGGATTGGTATTTCAATGGAAAATTAACGTTTACTCATTAGCATTACAATTGGTTGATCTTATTGTCCTTATTGATAGAGTTTCTCTACAACTGATGACGGTACAGATTCTAAGCAAGAAAGTCGTGACTAAGTTGGGCGTCCCGATTTCCGTCGTGGGTACCGCTCAGGTAATGTTTAAAGTTTATCTTGTGGCGGTGGCTTGGTCTAAAATGAATGTAGCGAGCTGTTTGGCTAAATTTCCTTTGAAACCCCTTTTCTGCTCCATTGTTGCGTGCCTTTTGCGAGCTGAAGGTATACTGGAAGGAAGATAATGCATTGCATGCTTCTCTGTTTCATTGCCCTGCGTGCTACTATAGACTGAGTTTGAATACCATGACTCTACAAGTTGAAAGTCCTACGGTGTATACGGGTCAAGGGGTGCCAATATCCGTCATTGGAGTGGCGCAGGTGAGGGTGTTAATGCATCTTATGTGTTTGCCTTGGTTTGTTCGGTTGTAGTGATTGTTGAAGGGTTTGTCTGAACATTTTTCAAGACGGTTGATGATAACATAACTGTTATTACTCCTTAGGTGAAGATCCAGGGACAAAACGAAGAAATGCTCTTGAATGCGTGCCAGTTGTTCCTAGGGAAGAATGATTCACAGATTCGCCAGGTTGCCTTGGAAACGCTCGAAGGACATCAGAGAGCAATTATGGGTTCCATGACTGTGGAGGTTAGTTTCCGTAGTGCAAGTGACTTGTATGCCAAAATAGTATTCATCTGAAATGCGTATCTAATCCAGACTTTTTTCTTGAAAGAGCTCTAGAAATTCCGTACGAATTTAGATGTTCCAAACTTCAATTTCTAGCGTAAGGAGAATTTTTATTTTCAGGCGCTTTTTTAAATGAAATTTTTCTGAAATAGAACGCTAGAAGTGCCATCAAGATTCAGATAACTTAATTAAATAAGGCAGTAGGTGTTCATTTTTTCAGGAATGTGTGTTTAACGAAGATTTTCTCCCTTCCGAAGGAAATCTACAAAGACCGAAAGAAGTTCAGTGCACACGTGTTCGAAGTGGCATCAACCGATCTGGTAAACATGGGCATAACAGTTGTGTCGTACACCTTGAAGGATATCCGTGACGAAGAAGTGAGTTGTCTTGGAAACTGAAAAATGCGTTATTTTGCGATTTTTTTTACGTGAATCTTGTTTTATTAGGGATATCTCAAAGCACTTGGCATGGCTCGAACTGCGGAAGTGAAACGAGATGCACGGATTGGAGAAGCCGAAGCTCGTCGCGATGCGCAAGTCAAAGAGGCTATCGCGGAAGAGGAACGCATCGCTGCCCGTTGCATCAACGATATTGAGATCGCCAAAGCCCAACGAGATTTCGAACTGAAGAAAGCGGAATATGACATGGAAGTTCAAACGAAGGTGAATATTTTTGAATTGGTTTTCGTGTCACATTTAGGGATTTTTCAACGAAAATTGGAAGGATTTGATTCGTGAATAATGAGGTGACGTGGAGTAGGTTTTCAAATTCCGTGATTTATGCTGCCTTTTGCGAAATTTGGACCATAATAATGCATGGAAGTGCCGTATGCCCTCTTCTGGAGTCATAACGAGCTTCGTCATTACAGGCGGCTATCAATAAATGAAGAATTCCTACTTTTCCCATGGTAATGAATGTAGGCTTGCATGTAAATTGCGTGACCGATGTGATCGATATAATTTTTTCCGTTTTGTTAAATTTTTATACAGTAGTTACATACTGTACTTGCAGAGGTTTCTGAGGGATTTGCAGTAAACTTACACATCACATTGGATGTTGGGGACATCTTCTGAATTTTTTTCCAGAGTGGTTTGATCCCGGGATTCTTTTTGACGTCTGTTCTGCTTGTAATTTTTTTTTAGCTAAAAAAAAAATTTTGGTTGCACAGTACTACGTGTACTGATTTCTTACAGTAGAACTTCAAAGGAACGGGCATCAAATACAGTATCAGTGAGGTAGGTTTCGAGATATGGGAACGAGCATTTTTTTTTGGGAAAAGGAAGAATTACAGAAAATTGCAATTCGTGATATTCTGGGCCTTGAATTGCTTCCTAAATAAGTTGACGGGATGCTGAAATTGAAGGCAAGAGTTTATTTTTCTAATTAGTCTTTCACTGCGTACGAAGCGCTTCAATTTTCACATTTATTGCTTCTCTCTTTTCTATAAAAATAGATTATTAGCCAAGAAGCCCCTAGAAATTCGAGTTCCGCAAGTTCGAGGGGGATGCATTTGAGTTTAATGCATTTATTTCAAGGGATTTCAGAGGGACTTGCGAACATTCGACGTAAGGCAGTTAGAATTATCAAGGTTCAATTGTAACTGTTATGTCGACATCTTTCTCGGATTCTGGAAAGCAAAGCCTGTCGATGTAGTGGAAAGTTTTTCTTGTTATCAAATGTATCGTGTTGGAAATCTAAAATAATTCTGCCACTGATTTCAGTAGCCTTTTTTGTCGAAAAATTGAGCAGGATCTCAACTCAATTGATTTCAGAAAGCAGAAGCCGAAATGTCATATGATCTTCAAGCGGCCAAAACTCGCCAGCGCATCAAAGACGAGGAAATGCAAGTGAAAGTCATTGAACGCATGCAAGACATCAACGTCCAAGAGCAAGAAATCCAACGGAAGCTGAAAGAATTGGAGGCGACCATTAAGCGTCCCGCCGAGGCGGAAAAATACCGGTTGGAGAAGATCGCCGAGGCCAATCAAAAACGTTGCGTCCTCGAAGCAGAGGCGAAAGCCGAAGCCATCAGACTCAAAGGAGATGCCGAGGCCTTTGCCATCGAAGCCCGGGCCAAAGCAGAAGCCGAGCAGATGGCGAAAAAGGCGGATGCCTGGAAGGAGTACAAGGAAGCCGCCATGGTGGAGATGATGTTGGAAACGCTGCCGAAAGTAGCGGCGGAGATTGCGGCGCCGTTGGCGCAGACGAAGAAGCTCACGATGGTGTCGAGCGGCGGCGGAGAAGTCGGGGCGGCAAAGATCACCGGCGAGGTCATTGAGATCATGTCTCGACTGCCGATTTTGGTGAAGCAAATGACCGGCGTGGACATGAACAAGTTCACGAGGAAGTGAATCCCTTTTCGACAAACTCGGCTTCTCTACTATGCATCCCTAGCTCTCTAATGTTTGTTTCCTCGAAACTTCCCTTTAATGACTCGAACGATGCTTATTTCAACTCACTCGAACGAACATCTGAAGATGCAAGATATTTGGTTTTTAGGAAGCAAGATTGGTTTCCCCTAAGATATTTACGCGTCGTGAATCTTTTATTCAACCTTCTCTAACTTCAATTCATTTTTATCCTAACTGTGCATTTGTAAAGACAAATATGGTCCTCAAAATATTTTCGGCGTTGCTCATCTTAGTTTTGAGTCACCGTAACAGAGCACTTCGTTCCGGAATTGGTAGGAAATTCCTCAAGGGTTTATTTTCTTAATTTTGATTGGTTCTAGTCAAATTCATTCTAGTTACCCGAGTCACAAAAGTCCGGGTTTAAAAAAAAATCATGTTGTCCATAGTTTCAGCAGTGCGCTAAGCCTGTAGTAAATTCAAGTACAACTTCAACTTTTTCTCCACGTTCAGATGCTTGGAACCAGTGGTTGAATATTGGTTCAAAAAAATAACTTTTTGATCATCGTGTTCATAATTTTTAAATCTGTGCGTGAGGATATTGCTGAGTTCAAGTTCGCGTTCTCTCAATTATTCTGAAGGAATGTTGCAGAGGCAATATTGGATGAAGTGGATCGATGAGGGTTACAAAACAGTCAAAGAAAGATATGATTAGAATTTTAAATTACAAATTGTTCAACTTCTTTTATCAGAGATTGTACTTATATGATTTACGATGTTATTCTTATTTGTTGCTGAAATTAAATACGCATCACATCTAGGTGTATTTTTGCTTAAAACTTCATGAGAGAAATTTGGAATGATAAAAAAAACCAGGCTCGCTCATAGGTTCAGGTGATTTATTCAAGCTTTTTTTTTTCGTCAATCACACTTCCTGAGTTTGTCTTATCTTCAGGAGCAAAGTGGACCAGCATATAGTTCCCAGTGCTGTCAATCCTGCTAGCAAGAATAAGCATTGACCCACGGAATCTTCATTTTGATGTTCCCTCAGTTTGCCTAGAAAGATGTGACTATTTATCAAAATCTGTTTATAATATAATCATTACTCACCAAAGGAAATGCCGACTCCGAGAACTAGAAATCCTTTGAGGAGAGTGATGTAGCCATGGATAGAAGGGAGTTTGTCTAGGCCAAAATTCTCCACGACAAACAAGGGATAGAAGGTTCTGCAAGCTGCAATGCTTAAAGAGCTTAGTCCCATGGCGCAAATCCCCAACCATGTGCTTTCACTGACTCCAAGACCTGTTAGAAGAGACTTGCTGAGAAAATAAGTACTGTACATGCGTTTACTTGAGTACCACATGCACATTTTTTAACTCAAAATTGAAAGGAAAAGTGGGTGCGCATCATACATGGGTATACATATTTCAAGAAGTTGTAGAAGTTTAGGTGTGCATTATAATTGACTTTAACGGACAATTTTGGACCAAGTGTAAGCAAAGGAACTTGTTTTAATGGAAACAATTGAACTTTTTTCAAGTTTATGTTCAGTCCATGTTTGAATTCAAATTTCGGTGCTTATTTTTTGAATATTGCGGTTTTAGAGTCACAAAAATGGGACATGCATTGTACAACTTCATCAAAATTTTATACTGAAAAACCCTGATGTGAATCTTACTTGAAACTGTGCGTGGTACTTGAGTAAATGAAGTAGTCCTTGAGAAAATTCACAATTACCTGCTAATCCGAGTCCAAATGACGCAAGTCCAATAAGGTACCCTTTTTCAGACCTCAAAAGCCTCTGGTCCCCCAAAATAGGGATTGTCAGTTGACCTATGATCAATATCCCGGTACTCAATGTCATCATCTGCGCCACAAATAGCTTGGGTTTCTCCTTAAAATGCAGAGGGAGCATGTAGTTGAAATTGGACTGTGCAATCCAGAATATCGAGTCACTAATGATGAGGCAACAAATTCTCCAGTCTTTGAGATTTTCCAGGTAAAAGTACTTCGATGCAGATTTCATCCCTGAGTCTCTTGAGGAAAGGGGAATTATTGCCATGGAACTTTGATGCGTATTCAGGACTTACTCTTTGTGCTGCCCGGGTTTCCACAAAAGACATGCGCCGATTAACGTAAAACCTGTCATAATCCCGTGTATCAGGATTGTTGTTCTTTGAGTTGCGAGCTCAAGAATGTAACCGAGGACCAGTGGTAGTGTAAAAGATCCACAAGTTGCAGCTACCCCGTAGAGACCCAACGCAAAACCTCGATTCTCTGGAAAACTTTTGCAAATCACCAGGAATGTTGGGGAAGTGATGAAGCCTGTTCCGAGGCCTGTGAAATGGAGCGTATATGTTAATTTTGATTATCCGAATTTGAATAATTTAATTATATTTAGAAGCTGAGCAAAAATGAGAGAAAACGTTGCCTATAAAAAAAAAAGACACTTACCAGCAAGAATGCTGTAGGTCAGGAACAGGTGCCATGAGGAAGAAGCAAAACTGCTCAGAATCACGCCGGTTGTCAATGCTATTGAGCCTATCAGAGCAATGTAATGACATGGAATTCTATGAGTCAGAAGAGATCCGAATAGACCTGGGGAAAAAAGAAAAGATTTACGCCAGCTTGAACAGAAACTTAATCAGGAAACACAATTTATTACCGGAAATGAACCAAGATCCGAGGCAAAAGTTGAAAACCATGCTTGAAAAAGCTGCAGAACCACCGAGGTCTTGTGTTAGGAAGTCTTCAAATGTCAATCCAAATGTAGTCCGGACAGGTGCTGTCAAGAACTGGAGGCGAACAATTTTTTTGTTCTATTAGTCAATAAACTGAAGGATGGGACTTTAAGTTGATACATTTTTCCTCAATTTAATTTGTGAAATTTTTTTTTTTCTAAGTCTGTCAAGAACATTCTCCACTGATGGGAGACACTTGCCATAAGAATACTGCATCCGAAGAGCAGACAGACCTGCTTGGAGTTCATATTGCCAAGAACTGACGATCACAACTGAGTTAGCCGCCCTTTTTTATCTCTTGTCATCTCCTCCAGTATCAAGTTACATTAACATGCGCATGTCACTTGTTGATGTCGGGGAGTTTCTTTTTTCATTGGTTCTGTTTAATGTTTCTCTAGAAAAATTTCTAGCAAGAGATACGGTTGTTCAATTCTTGCTGTAGTATCAAGTTACATTAACATGCGCATGTCACTTGTTGATGTCGGGGAGTTTCTTTTTTCATTGGTTCTGTTTAATGTTTCTCTAGAAAAATTTCTAGCAAGAGATACGGTTGTTCAATTCTTGCTGTAGGTCGCTGGCAGGATTCATAGACACAAATTTCATCTTGTTCCACCACCTGCATTCGAGTCAATTTCATGGCGAAAAAATACTATTTGGGAAGTTTGAGACCCGCTTAGAAAATTTGAAAAGATAATTAACAGGTCGTGTATTATTTATTTGGAGATCGATGAAGGAAGCTGGTTTGCGCTGCCAATTTCACTGCCTGGTAAAATGAAGCTCAAATACTGTAATCTTGAAACTAGCGATCCCAGAAATGCGAGTGAGAAACGTTTTGGGGGCAAGAAATGACCCCGAAGAGTCTTTTTGAGTGAATCCTTGGAAGTAGGGTAACTGGGAATTCAAAGAAACATATTTAATTTCCAAAAGTATTATAATTGCTATTGATATTGTTCGCATTCGAAATTTCCATGTTCTTGGAAAGGATGAAATGAACCTGTACACGTATCCTAAATCTACGTCTGTATCGGAAAATATTTGCTGTCCTAGGACGAGCCTGATTTCAGAAAGAAAGGGGAAATGATGAGGGAGTTGTGCTTGAACTTACCATAGGTACAAATGAACACTACTTGAACAAAGCAACTACTTGAAAGGAGTCAATTCAAACGAGATGAAAAATGTTCAAATTTTTTTGTTTTCAACTTGAAATACGTGAGCGGTGTTCACGCTGAGTGCAAGCGTCAAGATTTTTTTGTTTCGTTTGGAAAGTACACAAAAGTACGAGGTAGTGATTACTGTACTTGTGTTTTAAAATTAGGTTATCAGCGCTGAAAATCCTTTTTTTTTCTAGTAAGAAAAGTATGTCTTTTTGTTGGGAAAATTGTATCATTGATTAGAATGTACGAATAACAAAATTATCTAGACAGAAGAGAAAAAAAGTGAATCAGACCAGTTTAAAACCATAAAATTCGTCACATACTTTGTAGAAAGTTCTCACTGTCCCTACGAAAAGATGGAAAATAAGTCAGGAGAAGTAACCGTTATTTTGACAGTATAAACGAACGCTTAGAAAAGCTTTCGCTCCTGGATACAGTATTAGTTCAATAATTCCCTATAATTTTGTCGTATGGCTTTGACCCCCAAACGGCGGGGTTTTTTCTTTGAAGCAGCTTTATTGCATTTTTGTGTCATATTTCAAGAGCTCATACCGGTATTATACGAAGTTTCAGTTTTCTGTCGCCAGATGTTCAGTTTTTTATGTGAGAAAGTTATCTCGAAACTTTTTGAGAGCGAAAAGTTTTTCCTTATCACGGTTTTTATTGCGCGAATTTTTCGTTCTCGTCGGTGTAGCGCAGAATGTAGCGAAGGCTCTTACGAGACACGGAATGTAGTATTCGTTCGTGTGAAGCTTGCCAAATTTTTTTTGTAGTCTCCACAATTTTCGCATGGGGGAGTAGGAATTATATATGAAAGCTCACGGCTTATTTTATCCTTTGATTAAGCCGACGTTCGTGTACTTTTTGTTTTTGGTTCATGAAAAATGTGAGAGTGAGGTTAAATTCGGCTGCATGTGGATGTTGGCACTATTTTCGTAATTTTATCGTCGGTGAGAGATTTTTGTTATCGGTGGAATTTTTGTGTTTCCGGGTCATGAGAATTCGGCGCCTTTCGGAGGCATTTTGCTTGTTTAACGTCGCGTGTGGCATTATCGTTGCTTGTTTTTTTTTCAGTTTTCTGTCGGATATTGGACTGCTGAAAGACGCAAAAATGGCATTGAAATATACGGAGAACTTTGTCACTATGTTGTTTTCTCGTTCGAAATGGTTTCGTTTGTCTTACATGATGGGTATTATTCATTGCGATGGATTTTCATGAGTATGGGGTTTTTTTTGTTGCTTTTTCTGCAGGTTCCTCGGAATGAACGAGTTCAATGTGAAGAATTTTCAGTTCTTTGTTGTGGACGTGATGTTGTTCACATTCTATGAAAAGTGGTTCAATATTGTTGCGTGTTCTGAAGGTGAGTGAGAATTTCGGTGCTTGGGATTTTTTTTGTGCGAGATGTTGACAACTAGGAATGCTGACTTCGGAATATAAATATGGAATTTATTGTCTGCTCAAAGCGTTGGGATTCAAATTGTTGAAGAAATACTGCATTCACAGAACTACATTAAACAGCTCAGAACTTTTTGAATTTAATTTTTATTCTTCTCGATTTTCAAAAATGTATTTTAAAAATAAATGATGAATTGTGTTGCTCAATATAATTTCAACCGCCGAGAACATTTTCGCAGAAATGCTGAATGATTCTGCTTGATTTTTTAGGCATTCAAATTCGATGTCTGGTCGCTTTACGAAGCTATTGCATCATGTTTTTGATAATATTTGTATATTTTTTTCAGGTCATATTTGAGTTGAACGCGAGCTGCAAAAATTTTCTTCGACAATATCATGACGCTGGAAGATTCTGACAGGGATCTTTTGGAGTCATTCGGATCGATCGATCCTTTTGACATCCCTAATGCTAGCGAGGAAAACAAGTTACTTCAGCAGCAGGTTAGATTGAAGATACAGTATTTATTGGGACGTGAGATGCTACCTGTTATGGGATGGTCCTCTTTATTTTTCTTATAAAAACAACATTTTTCTCTTGCGTGAAGTACTGTACTGTAATTATATTCGTGTTATTTAGAATTGAAGAGTTCGTTGATACTACGCATGCATAAGATGCGAGTCAGATTTATATTTAGAAAAAACTCGATTCGAAACTCTTATCACGCCAACTTGAAGTTATGCGAAAATTTGTATTACAGTACAGGTATTGATTTTTAAACAGAGTTTTTATTCCGAAGTTTGTGTTGGTCAGAAGGATTAACTTGATTTCACCGGAATCTAAGACGCACCCTAATGTTATGAGAAGCCAATTTTTTGAATAAGAGCGTCGTATGTTCGAAACGGAACGTAATCTTTGAAAAAGCAGGGGTGAAATAGTATTTCCTGCGACAGTATTTCCTGCGAAATTTTGTTCATTTTCATCATTATTCATGCAAACTTTTAAATGAACCTTGATTTGACTTCGCTTGCAGTTGAAAGAAAAACTTGCGATTGCTGCCTTGCTTCGGGACAAAGCCGCGAAATTTGACGAAAAGATCAAGGTTGTTCAGAAGCATCTGAAGGACGTCGATGATGATAGGCAGTCGATCGAGGTTCGTTTTGCTCGAGGTTCATCTCGTCTGGTTTCAATTGCTCGATATAGATTTAAAAAAACTCTGTTTTCTCTTGTTAGAGTAATTAAAGTTTGTTTCTTAGGCTCGACCTTAGCCGTAAACAGAGTCAAGCCCCTCGCCTTCGTCTTTAAGCACAGCGAGCAGCAGTATAGCGTCTGAACCTCTTTCTGCTGCCACTATATGTGCAGAAATGCGACGAAACGAGGGTATAGTTTTATTACTTTTTATTTTGTTCATTTAATTTCTCTACGTCGCACGGAAAACTTCTTCTTTTCACAGGCTAAAATCACAAGTTACCTCAGCAAGATCACAAAGATACGCAATGAGCTGAAATGGGATGAAGATACGTACAAGAGCTGGTCTGAGAAACTCGCTCAAAAACACGAAGATAATTTAAATCTCGTGAAATATGCGGAATTCGACGAGGCTCGCATAAAGGTGAGTTTTTACAAAAGAATGTTGTGGCAGAGGAGATTGAAAGCGTTGATGGACCTTTTGCCGATCTTCCCGTCGTGCATCGTCAGGGATTTATCTTATACAGTATTAATCCAGAAAGCCCTCTCAAAGTATTCAAGTTATTGACAAAACTTTTGAAATATCTCCCGTAAATACCGTAATGTCGGATTTTTGTTAATCTCAGCTTTTTTTTTGTTGCTTCGAATTTTTATTGCAAAAGCGGGAATTTATTTCCGTGACATAGCGGAAAATATATGAAGTACTCTACATTGATTCATTTTTCCAACAGGATCTCTCGTTGAAATTAGAAAAGCTCAGCGTAGAAGCCGAAGGTTTTCGCATTCGTGTTGAGGAAGCTGCCTCCGAGAAATCAGCCCAAGAAGCCAAATTCAAGAAGACTCAGAAGGAGCTTTTGAATCTCCAAGCGCAGAAAACTGAGCTTTCTGAAAAATGGGAACAAGTCCTCTCCAAGGTCTCCGAAAAAGACTCAGAAAACCAAGAAATGTTGCAAAAACTTGAAAAAGCCGAAGAAGCCCTGAGGGCTGCCCAAGAGCGACAAAGGATTGTGAAGAAGGCTGAAGCCCTGGAAATTGCCTGCACCTCAGCCAGGAAAGCTCAGATGGTCGAAGGACTTCTAGCTGTTAGTATTTGTTGTTGTGTTCATCATGGAATCGTCTACTCGCGGTGTTCTGCTATTCAGTTTCAATTGGATGACCACATTTTTAAATATTTACTGTTAAACCTTAGATTGTGGAAGCTTACGTGAGAACAGAAGAAATATGATTAAATTGATGCAAAACATGTGTAAAAGGAAGTAAAGTAACGGACTCCGTGGATTTGGGGCATCACGAGAAAGAATTCCGTTATCTACGCATATTTTCTTCCATATTCTTTTTTTCACCAGGACAGTGAAGCATATCGAAACTCCTTGAAGACGAAGATCGATCGGCTTACTAATAAGAAAGCGAAGCAAGCCGCCGAAGTGAAAGAAATGCATGGGGAATTAGCATCCTTGACTTCTCAAATTGCCGCTGCGAAGAAGAATATCAAAAAGCTGGACAAGTCGATAAAAGAAACGGAAGATTCCATCCGAAATAAGGAGGAAATGAGCTTCAAACTGGTGAGAAACTACTGTATTTTATAAGGAGACAAGGGGTTTCATTATTATTTTTTTCAGTATCCTCTTTGTTGTGTGCGTAAAAGGTTTTTCCGATTCGTTTTTCTCGATTTTGCCCACTGAGGACGCCGTATGATTTTTCTTAGTCTCATCAACATTTTTAGGAACGTAACGAAGCATTTCTCATCTTTTTTTGGGTGTCGAACAGCTTCTCGTGCGTCAACTTTAGCCGTATCTTCAGAGAAAAAAGTTGAATTATTTGTTGATTCTTTATGAAGTACATGTACTTATACTGAGTCTACCGGTATTCTTTTAACGTGAGATTGAAGGAAGTGCATTTCTGGAACTGCAGTACAATCAATCTTTTGAATAAGTAACGATTGAATAAGTTTTCGCAGAACATCGGATTTATTTCATAAGTCTCCACGACGTTTACAGGATTTCAAGATCGTCAAGCTCGACAGAGAAATCGCTATGTTCATGGGACGTAGTCATCCTGACAGTGACGAATCTATCGTCAAGTGCGAATTGAAAGAAAGCAAAAGTCAATACGAAGCTGAATTGGAAAAATTGCGAAAGTCGAACAAGTCTGCGGACTCGGAAAACCAACTCGCCTTTGAACAGCTGAAACGCGCGAGGAACTCGGCGAATAAGCTGATACAAGAAAAAGTGAAGGCGGACAATCGGTTGCGAGACCTGGAAACTAAAGTTACTCAGACCAATAAGTCTCTGAAAGAACTAAAAGGTTTGATATGAATATTCCATTTCTAGCGTCTGAAGAAAAAATTGAAAATCTTGAACGCTTAAAAATATAAATGCACAGGTAAAGTTTCCGATCATTGTACCTTCCCATCTTACTCACATGAACGGATTAAATCTATCAACTATTTTAATCTGACGAGTTTTTCTCTCCTTTTCTCAAAAATATCCGATAATCCAGGAAAATAGCCTTTCTCAATTCGAATGGCTCAATTATTTACTGTGGTTTTGGAGATCATTTCCTTTGTACACCTCGGCTTCAAGTGCAGTTTTGTTGAAAATGTTTACGTACTCGTCAATTAATGCTACGGTAGAAAATATTAATTCATGTTTTTGTAATTTAATGCCGATAGCAAGACATTCATATACTTTCATTTAGACTCTGCCCATTTTTCGAAATTTTTCCTCTTCTATTATCAAAGACGAAAAAATGTCTACTTCATAGCAGTGAGAATTATTATTTAAAAAACGTGTTTCCATTGGAAAGAACAATGTTAAAACACTCCTCTGAAAACATGTGAAAGCTGATGTTGATCAATATGTTTCTCCTCCTTGGAAAAGTGTTGAATGAATCCTTTCTCGCTGTTATTTACAGCCGAGCAAGAGAACATGCTGGTGGAACGGAATCTTCTCCAAGTCGACGTACGCAAAAATATCAAGAAAGTTCAGACTAAAGCTCGGATTTTGGCGGAGAGCGAAAAAGAGCAGCTTGAACTGGAAAAGGTTTGTAGATCCGGTTGCTCTGAAAAAAATATTTATGAAATTGGAGATGGAAATTTCTGTGTGGGAATTATTTGCAGTCGGCGCTTGAGGAACAAGAAGTGAGAAAATGCGAGCTGGAAAACGTGAAGCTTCAATTGAGGAATGTCAACGACGAGAAGCAGTCTTTGCAGATGAATTTGAATGACCGCACGGACAAGGCTGAAAAGTCCAAGAAAAGGTTTGTCAATTTCTTCAAACTACTTATGCTGTGTTTTCTGAGCCACTAAGAACCGCAAATGATAAATTCGCTTTAAAAAAAAGGTACGAAACAATCTTGGAAGCAATGGGGGCAAAGATGACGAATTCTTCGTCCAATGCCAATGCTTCTTCAGGCCAGTCTACGAAATTTTCGAATAAGAAAAGGCTCGCTTCATTGGTTCCTGATGGACCCGGTCTTGCCGACTCCGACTTGAAAAATGCCAGTTTTTTCATTATCACTCGTGCACAGGAAAAGCAAGAGTTGGAGATGAAAATTACCGACATGTCCAAGCAGGTGAGCTTCTAGCTGCAGCACTTCATGTGCAAAAATTTATAATTTTTGTTTGTTTAATTTTGACGCTATTACTTCAAGTACAAATATTCTCGAGTTCCCGAAAATGAAGTTCTATTACTGCCAGCGACATCTATGGATTTACTCACACGAGAATATTGCGACCATGCAGTGTACAAATCAAGAAAATTCATTGTGTCGATTACGAATATCTCATTGCCCAATTGCTGTTCGGACAACCGATGTTACAGTAATTTTACATTTTCGAATTCCTGGTATTAAATGAAAATGAGAACTGTTTTTTTTTTTCTAGAGTCAATAATACAGTAATTGAAAACACCGCCCGATTTGAATTTCTGTTTCAGATTTTGGCGTCCAGGGAAGAACTTATGGCTTGCAAAAGAACCCTCGACCTCGTGACAGGAAACAATTCAATGTTCAGAAAACAAACCATCGACGCTGCCGCGAAAAGCATTCAAAATGACGAAGACGCCCTCAAAAAGATGAAAGCAGAAGAGGATTACGAGTCTGCCAGAATCGAATTGAACATGAAAACCTTGGAGATAGAGGAAATTGGACACAACGTCGAAACGTTGGAGAACTTTGTCACAAAACTTCGAGCGGAAGTTGAAGCCAATGGCCGAGAGATGGAGGAACTAGATGACCGGAAAGCGTTGCTTCTGAAAGAAATCAATGATCAATTACGAAGGCTCGAAATCGCAACCAATCGTATCAAGCGGCTCACGAAGGAGCTGAAGACCAAGGACAAATTGTTGGGAGAATCTGAACAACGCTTCGAGGTTTCACAAACATCCATCTCCTTCCCCATTTCTGAAAGCTTATTGATTTACCATTACCAACCTTCTTTTTACTCCTTCAGGAATTTATGAAAGATATCGAATTGAAAAAGCTGAAGAGTACAAATCGGAAAGCGCTGAACAGTTTCAGAGAACTGGCTCAGATTGACATCGCTGTGTGGGCCAGTGTTGAACGGGCTTTTCTTGAGGTGAGAGAAATCTCGACTCGATTTAAATCAATTTTTGAATGTCGTATCTAACGTATTTACTCGAGTGCCACATGCCCTCAAGTAAGACACGGATCAGAGATTTCCGAGTAAGACGCGCACTGCATTTTTGGTGACTCCTGAATTTTAAAGATTGGAACACCCAAATTTAATTTAGGTTTGAATTGAACCTGAATTCGTCTAATTTTCAATTTTTACTGTGAAAATTAGTTTTTATGTTGAACTTGGTCCAAAATTTCCCTCAAGAATCGAAGTTTACTGCACACTTGAACTTCTTAAACAAAACAAAAAATGTATACCCACCTCTGACTCGCACCCCTATTTTTCCCCTCTTGAATTAAAAAAAAAAAAGGTGCGCGTGGTGCTTGAGTAAATTTGGGTCTTTAAAATCGACTTGAGGATTGTATTTTTCTTCGATATACTGTATTGTATCCATAGCCTTTTTCTGATCATCTCGATGGGTATTTTGGAAAGGTATTCACGATGGCGTTTTTGATGGCATTTTCATTGCATATTCTTTATGTCAACACCGGTGTTTCGTTCTGGAATGGAATGCATGTGTGGCCTGAATCACTTAACGTAAAATAAATTAACAAGCGGACCTAAACTGATCAAATTGAAGCCACTTCAGCCGAACCCGAATAAAATTCGAAGCAACCTAATCTAACCAAGCTTAACCCGAAATTAAAGTACTTTTCCTCTACGTAACCGGACCTACTTTTTACGGGTGATTTTGCATAATTTAGGGTGATCTTTCGTTCTACGATTAACTTTGACTTCCACTTCTACATTTTGTAGAACGATCTTTCACTTTCTCAATTGAGCGCTCCATTGGACACAACAAGTTCTGGATCGTCGTCTAATTCGGGATCGCGCAAAAGCAGGTGATTTATTCGCAATGTGTTGTCATGCAGAGATTTTTACGACTACAGGGCGTGGATCTATAAATCCGCGAACTTTATTCGCGACCGACAGCTTAATGAGCGACAATTATTCGCGCCTGATACAATGCGATCAAAGCTCGAATTGTACTGATTGCGGACATTTTTTTTTCGCGAGGACTGAAATGTTGATCTCTACCTACGAGAAGCTAGTCATTCCAATTTTCAATGTTGCTTTTTTCGATGCGTTGCACGCTTGTGACTTGGACCGTATCCGTCTGTATTTGAAACGAACTGTGGTTTGCTTGTATTAGTGCCGGACGAATGCAACAACGATACTCAGAATTTTGGAGGTAGTTTCTGATTTCTTTTCAAGTTAGCAGAAAATTTGAATCCCCGTTAAAAAAAAATGAAAATGTCAGAAAGCATAAGGCTATAGAGTTGGTCTAATCATTGGAGTATTTTCTTTAAATTTTTGTAGATCAGCCGGTGTCAAACTTCTTATCTAATTGCATGAAGGGCTCGTCCTGGAATTACAATTGCGACACTGTTCAAATTACTGTAATCTTGTGTTTGAGACAAGGAAATTGACTGACATTTCATAATCAACTCTTTTTCTGCATTAAACTTGAGCTGTGGTCATAGGAAGACAGATGGAACGCGTAATGTGTGAGTTTTCTGAGTTTGAAAAGCGAAGTGCCTTGTTTTCTGCATTTTCAAGCGGGAGATTTTTATTTTCTGGAAGAAATCAGTTTCTGCGTTGTTTGCTTGCATTGGTCTTGAAAATGTTGATTTGAATGTCCGCCAGATAGTTTTTTTTTTATGTGCTTGTGATGGCGTATCGCGTGTGCTGTCACACGTTAGGGTTGTGGAAGAAAAGTTTCGCGCCGAATCGCATAGGCTTTTTCCTTGGCAATGGTTCCCGAGTGCTACCTCTGAGCAGTCATTCGTTTGCATCCAAAGATGCTCTTCTTCACGAATCGGCGTTTGAATTGAAACACCGGCGACCTCCTCACGTGTTTGGTGAGTCTGAATTTGTGATTGCTTGAACGATGACAATTTATTTTGGTTTTGAGAGTGCAATTCTATGCGTGTCAAGTCTGAATGTCTCCTGTATTTTTCCGAAGTTTTGGAGATGCATTGATTGAGTCTGGTTCTGCTGCAAAAAAACATGGATGCAAAAATTCCGTTTATTTAATAATTGTACACATTCAGGGGGACTTTTTGAGAGTAACCCTCTTTAACGCAAGGAATTAAATCTGCAATCCACACATTTTTTGACCGAAATTCAAGTTGAAATACCCTTTTTTGAAGACTTATTTAAAGGTAACCCTTTCAGATGCAATTGAGCAATTCATTAAATCTGTACTCCGCACCTTCTCATCAAAAACTTGTATGAAAACAAGTTTTTCGAGGGTAACGAAAAACGTAATATCGTCATGGGCATCAACTGGAAAATAGCCCAAATTAATTGCAATTTTAAATGGGATTAAAAACATGTGTTCCGGCCTCGTTTGAGAATCTTCCGAGTATACGCGCCACTGTTCCATTTATTTTTCAGAGGAAAAGACTGCCAAGCATGTTTTCAACAACTATTTTCAGCTTGTGAAATCGTATTTCAAAAATGGCGAGAAGTTCGCACCGGTTCTCAAAACAACTCATGGGACGAAAGGAGGTCGACATTTGTGGAACGTTGCATGCAAAATTCATTGGCCAATTAGCTACGAAACATCTGCGTCAAGTTCCTCCAAGAAACACGCCGAGGCCCTTGCGATGATTCAGGTAAGGTAATTTTTGCGGTTGTGGATGAATTCCTGTAAGAATTGACGCGTGTGAGCGAAAACATGTGGATTAATTTTTTTTAAATAGAGAAAAAGGCATTCTTACGTTTTGCCATTTTGTCACGTGTAGAAATGCTCGAAGTCTTTGAAAAAATTAAGAATGGATGCTGTCAGGGGCTCATAAGCCTCTCTAACAAAGATTGAAGTTGCACCCTTCTAGTGAAATAAAAGAATGAGCACAATCGGCCGTTTGTGGCCTGAGGTCAGTACCTCAATCGTCGGTTTATATGTTCTTCAGTTTCAAACAATGTTCAAATATCATCAGCAACAAACAGTGAGTTTCAGTCTCTTGAAGACTCAGCAATGACAAGTGTTTTGAGATTCGCGATGATTTCACACACAAAAAGTAGCTCCTTTCTCATCTGAGGTTGGACATAAACTGGCTGCTCCTGAAAGAGGTTTTATATAGCTGCAGGTCCTCATTAGTGGAAAGTTTATTCCAGGCTTTCCACTGATGTGTATCTGACACTTCAGCACACAAAATTCCTCATCATTCTTTTGATCACCAGGGCTGATTCATCAGCTGAATAGGCCCTGGAGATCAATATCTCCAAGGCTGGTCTTTTCCTTGGAATCTTGTTTTCCCATTTGTTTAGAAATATATTTCATTACTGTTTTTATATAATCATCTTCTGGAAGAAGATGGATTTCTTTTTCTTGAATCTTGTGATGATGTGGCGTTTTGTACGCCGTGTCAAATTTTTCTTCTCCTGTTTGTTCCTCTGACTTGGGCGACATCTAATTGTCCCGAGAAAAGCGGCGTGTCAGCGGGTGACATCTGTTCAACCCGTGACAGATGCATTGAATGTATTTTGAAGTACAGTATTCGTTTATGGAAAATGTAAAGAGTTTTGCTGGGAGGAAATTTATCTTTCTACATATGTTTTCAATTTAATTCTGCAGGATTTGTCGATAGTCAATGCATACGTCATTTATTATTTTGAATTAAAATGCATTACTGCATAGAACAGTCGCCGATGCTTTTTAACACGTTTTTATTGACTCGCTTTCTTGTCTGTTTGTTTGTCTGGATCAAATTTTGCAACTCAAATTTTGCTCATAACGTGGTTTTTTAGATTAATTTTTTAATCTACTAAATTTTTTTATTTACTTCTGTGTCTTTTCTGGATGATTTTGCGTGTGTTTAATATTTATGTGAAGAAGGGAAAATTGGAGATTTTCTATTGAAGTTATGTTAAGAATAATAGGAATTCGCGTGATTGTACGGAGTAGTGTTAAATTATTGCCTATCACAATCCTGGAGTTTTTGGCTGAGAAAAGTTATATTCAACGGATTCTTCGGAGTTGAAAATGCGAAGTATATCTTTAATTTTCTTCTTTTACTCTTTGAAACTTGTGCGGGCTCAGTACTTCTTGAGGTACGTGACAGTGCAACTATTGCCATCACGAGGAAGACGGAGATTAAATTGAATAAATAAACGAAGGAAACGTGCTTCCATCATCCATAAAATGGCTTCCGGATGCCCCCGATGTTTTTTGTTACTACTGAAAGGGGCGCATCCAACCATGTATAATGCATGTACGGTAATAATTTTAATGAAGAGAATATTCCTTCTCTTTTGCTTCAAGCAGGGCCTCTCCTGAAGACCAACTCACGGCATTCCAAAAGGATCTCCCAAAAAAATTCCCTCTGCAGTGATTGATGTGATGTACGAGTAAATGTTTTCGTACTTTGTCTATTAAAATGACGAATTATCATATTGCTTTGATGTTACAATTCAATTTTGATTTCATACTAAATCGTCTGGAGTTTCGGTCGTGTCGAGTTACATCCAAGATTTAAAGACACAGAAAAATATGGTACTGACTTTTCAATCCCGCAGTCACTTGTTCGACACATTTTTTTCTATAAACGTCTGTAATAGTTCCGGATTGTTTCGAAGCTTGAACGAAACAACGGAAATATTGTACAGGAAAGTACAGCATTTTGAATGGATCAACTAAGATTTTTCATTTTTATTTTTGGACAGATTTTGAATCATCTGCAGTCCTTGAACAAAATCAAGGATGGGAAACCGGTTTTCTATTCGATGGACGAAGTGGAGGTTGCTTCGTCAATCCTGAAAGAGCCTCTTCAACTGTCCATCCCGCCTGATTGTGTCTCAAGTATCAATCGCTTGGCTAATCACGAATGCGTGAGTTTTTTTTTTTTTTACGTTTTTGTTGTTGTTTTTGAGAATTTCCTCAGTTTGGGGAGAAAAGAAAGTTCCGAAAAGAACTGTGTCGAAAGTCGAAAAGAAAGGTCATTATGTATGACGGAGAATTTCCGAACCTGTTGACATGTTACGCCGCGAACAAAATTGTTCCGAGACGTTCCTGACCTTTCGTTTTCTTTTCGTATCTGTTTTCCGGCTAGAATGTGCCGTAATATTTTTAATTTCAATTTTGACGACCGTAGTTGTACCTGAAAATATGTTTTTCTGTCGTGTTCATTTTTTTGTATTGTCTTTGCAATTCAGAGATTATTGTCCGGTTGCCTTACTCTGAATAAGACCGTATTCATTGTATGAAACCTTAGTTTTCGGTTAACTAAAATTTTGTTGTTTTAAATTTAGTTTCAGGCAAATGCGAGGGTTGTTCCATAAGTTCTGAGACTTTTTGACATGGATCCAACGGAGTTTCAACAATTCCAAAGAAAATATTTACTCGCATAGCTCCATCATTTGGTAACACTTCAGCGCTGTTCAACTTACTCTCCGCCAATTTCAATGATTTTTTTCGTGCGATAAGTTCAATGATCAAAACAGTGCCAAAAATCGAATTCCTTTAGTTCATTGAGCTGTTCTTCATCGACGGCAAAAATGAGGCTGTGCCTGTCCTCAAAATCGAAACCTTTCAGATGATTCTACACTGTTGGGAACAGCCGAAATCACAGGGCGCCTGAAAAAATTAACAGAATTGATTTTTGGCACTGTGTTGATCATTGGACGTATTGCATGGAAAAAAATCATTAAAATGGGCGGAGAGTGACTTGATCAGCACTGAAGTGTTACCAAGTGATGAGTTTATGCGAGTAAAAATGTTCTTGGGAAATTTTGAAACTCCGTTGGATCTATGTCAAAGTATCAAAACTTATGTAACAACCCTCGTATGTATACTTTTTTTGCATCTAGATTCTCTTTTGTCCTACATTGATCGTATGTATTTTTCATTTTCTAAATTTAAAAATTTTTATTTGCTTCTTTTCGGATTCGTGGAATTGAGAAAGATATCGCCTGCTGGAAGCGCTTTTCTTCAGTTACAGTACTTGAAATCTTGGTTTTCGTTCATCAAATTTCTTTCCTTTCGCTTTTACTTCGTTCCATTAACCCAGCAATTCTCGTCTAGCTTTAGCGAAATATTTTTTTGTACAGCATTTGACTCCGTTTCCCTTTCACGTTTCCGCTTCTCTTTCTTCCAGCTAGGAAATATCGTGAACCTTTCAATTTTCATTTTGACGACCGTGGTTCTACCCGAGAATATTTTTCTGTCCTGTTCATTCTTTTCTATTCTCTTCGTGATTTAAAGTTTATCCAGTACCCGTGCCATGTATAAGACCCTATTCAATGTGTGAAACCGTTTTTTTTTTATCTTGCAATTTTTTAAATGTTGTACTTGTTCCTCGTCGGATTCGGGAATTACAATTATCGCCTGCAGGAAACCCTTCTCTATTTCCGTTGAAGTACTGCTTGAAATCGTGGATTAAATTAATCGAATTTCTTTCTTCGCATGTTTCCTTGTTCCATTAACCCAGCGATTATCGTCCAGCTCAAGAGCAAAATTTTTCGTTTGTTTTTTTGGTGCAGTACTTGAATCCGTTTCTCTTTTACGGTGAAATGAGGTCGTGGTCACGCTTGGTTTGTTCCGTAGACGCTGAGGGAATCCCTCCGTGATCACCTGAGTAAACCCTGCGCCGAACTGAACCGCGACAAGTTGGACACGAGTCGAAGAGAGGGAAACTGGGACGCGGAGAGTCTCGCCGCGAGGAACGGGGAATTGATCCGCAAATCGCGAAACTTGCGGATTCACAACCGGTCTTTGCCCGTGAACAAGTACCAGTGAGTTGGAAATTTATTTTCCCTTGACCGTCAACCCTCGATTTATGGTTCCCCCCAAGTTAGTGACACATAAACAGAAGACCCTCGCAGAGTGCCGAAAATTTCCCTTTAAACCAATCTCCCTTCAATGTGTTCTTGAGGGAAACCCCGATTTAGTGCCGCAAGAAATTTTCTGTCCAGTATGAAAATTAGGCCGAAATCAGATAAATTGAGGTGTGTTTCCAGAGATATGTAAAGGTTATTACTGGAAAACACATGCTCGAATAAAAAAATAATACAGTAATTTCTGAATTTACACTTGATTGGATGGTTTTATTTGAATGTCCTGCACAGCAATGAGCATCTCAATAAGTGGGACAGTCTCTTAAGAAAAGTGGTAAAATCACTCCACCTGACCTTGTAATTGTGTCCTTTCACTAAAATATTGGTACAAAGCTGCAAGAAACCGTTCCACTCTTTTACTTGACCGATTTGTGTAAAAGTCTAATGTATTCTGTACTAATGTATAACATAAATTTCAATGCAGTAAAAACAGTTCATTTGGGCCTTACATTACTTTTTGTGCTTTATTTTTTTTATAAAACCGACTCAATGTCTTAACAATACTGTAAAAGAGCCTGTTTTACCACTAGTAGAAGCCCACAAATGAATTGTCTTCTGATACCCCCGATTTAATGCCAATCAGGCCTGATTTAATGAAAGGGGAACTTTTTTTTAGTGAAATGTGGAAGAGAATTATTTCTCGTCTCTATTTTTTTTTAAATGGTGGAGCATGAATATTTGGAGTTCTCGTGTTCAGTGAAGTCCGCCGCGGAATTGAATGATGATCGAATACAGCACCTAGAGGTTAAACGTAGTCTTTCAATGGTCGGACAGAGAGGATAATAAATTCCTGTGACCTTCTTAAAACCCAATTCAGGAATAATTCTGCCTGCGGAACGAGAACCCGGACAATTTTCAAGAAATACTGTGCCGTGACTCCCCGCATTAACGGAAGACCCGTTCAACGAATATTTCGCATTGCGGGATTGTTTTAGGGTCAAACAAAAGTGACCCGCATTTTTAAATTGTTGCACATGACGAACATTTTTGGTCAAAAACGGTTAAATTTTATGAAATTGTGAGTTGAAACTTCGGAATTTTTTGGAAATTTGTAGGAGATGAGAAAAGTTTTGCTTTACAAATAAAAAAAATTGAGAGATTTATAAGCTCAAATTTATCAAAATCACTGTACTTCAATTTCATTTCAATAAATTTTGAATAAACTGTTCTATGCTGAAAAACGCTAGTTTTATCATTTTCTAAGGCCTATTGATGATTTTCTGGAACGAATTAAATAATTTACTATACAATCTTGGAAGAAAACTCGTATCGCATTAGGAAAATTCCACATGACGAAATGCATCCAGGAACAGATTAGTTCCGCTATGCGAGGAATCACTGCACAAGATCGTACACCAAGCGATCTGGTGAATCTGCTGCTTTGAACTTTGTTTTTTGGGCCTGATATAAAAATTATTTAGTCATTTTTTTGGTGTGCGTGAGCAGACATTTTTACCCGCGATTAAATTATCAATTCACAAATTTCCTCGTGTAAAAACGAATAAATTTTTTTTTATTGAAGTGCTTGAAATTCGTTCCCCGAAATTCGTTTCTGGAATCTTAGTAACAGCTGAGGGAAGGAATGGTAGGCATTTACACGTGCGCAGGGCATTTATTTAGTCATTTCATCGTCTCCGAAGCTCCGTACCAGCATTTTTGGATTGAATCTATGAATCTAAACTGACTTAATTTTTCTCTCCCCCATTTTTTTTTTTTTGTGAAGGAGCGTGATTGTGGACGCGGTCAGGGAGAACCCCGTGGTTGTGCTGAGCGGGGATACGGGCTGTGGAAAAAGCACGCAGGTGCCTCAAATAATCCTAGATGAGCTGATTTCCCAACGAATGGGAGCTGATGCCAGCATCATCGTTGCACAGCCCAGGCGAATTTCCGCCATCTCGTTGGCGAAAAGAATCGCTTACGAACGGCGAGAAAGGGTATTTATCTTATTTATTTATTTAATTTTGGCGCTGGTTTTCGTAAATAATTTACGCTTAATTTAAAACCAGAGTAATTGTCTGAAATATTGATTTTACGATACATTGTAGAATTTGGACTTCTTTGTTCAAACAAGTTTTATTACGAGTAATTCTGTCCCAAAATCGCCTCAATTTAAAAACAGCGAAAGAAGAGGCTAAATTATTGATTTTACATCAAATTTCCCCATTCGGAGATCGAATAATGTACGGGGTTAATTATGAATCATCAACTCATTATGTCCTGAAATCGACTTCCAAATGATAACTTAAGACAACGAAAGACTGTTTTTTTAGTCCTAGTTTATATATCGTCATGGGTTGAGTCCATTAAGAAATCCAGCGCCTCTCATGTACTGTAATTCGGAAAGCTCAAGGATTTATGCTTTGAAAAATTCAAATTTTCAGGTTGGTGAAACTATAGGTTATCAAGTGAGGCTTGATGCGAGGTTACCAGAAACCTCACGCGGTTCCATCGTATTTTGCACCGGTGGAATACTGTTGCGGAAGATTATGAATGACCCGACTTTGGAAGGTCAGTATTTCCCCCGTGTACGTTTTATTGAAACAAATGATACCCCGCTTAACGGCTGTATCGCATAGAAGCTTCGAATTTCTGTGTCAAATGACGGTCCACACTTCAGATAATATCGAATGTTCATCCATTTAATTCAAATATTTTGTCTCACGTGGTTTGTGGCATCATTTTTGAAAGGGGAAAACTGTTTTTCCCCCTTCAATACTCCCATTTTTCCCCCCATATACTCCTGTTGATTTTAGAGTAATTTTGTTTTCGTTTCAGGTGTCAGTCACGTGATACTTGATGAAGCACACGAGCGTGACGTTACTACCGATATTTTGATGGTGTTTTTGCGCAGAGCCGTGAAAGCCAATCCGAATTTGAAGGTGGTGATCATGAGTGCGACGATTAACGTGGATCTTTTCGCTCGTTATTTCCACGGAGCTCCTGTCGTCAATGTACCTGGTAAATTTATTGTCTTTGTGATTGGTTTTCTCCGCGATGGGATTTTTCGTTCGATTTACAAGACTTTTCCCGCTGCTTTTCGTTTTAGTGAGACTAAAGACTTCGTTCCTTTCACTTTGATGCCCGTGGCTACGTGGTTATCTGTGCAAATAGTCACGGTGGATATTTCGTCAGAGTTTTGAATTTTTCATCAGGTCTAAATACGGTTAGATTATTTTTCATTAACGTTGTTGAGATTATGTGAAATCAAATTGAGTCAATGTGGGTCTTTTTCGGGCCTGGCTAGTGAAGGGAGGTGTTAAAGATCCCATAGGGTGAAGTTAAAATTTAAAGGAACAGTACGTGTGCATTATTGGATATACAGTACAGGAATTGGAGTCGTTAGAAATCCAGGAAATATCCGAAATGAATCTCCTCAGCCTTCAGCGCTTTTTCTGGTCCTAGTCATGAACAAAATCGAGGACAATTTTTTGACGTATTTTAAAATATGAAACATAGTACAAAAAAGCACCAGTGGTTTATCAAAAGATTATGAAAATGATGGAACATCAAAGGATCAAACGAAATACTCGGACTTCGGTACTCGAGAAGATTGACGATACTGGTCGTAGAAAATTTGGGGGCATATGCAATTCAAATCTTGGCCAAAATTTAGCTCCTCAGCGTTCGTAGATTTTGACAGATTTATTTATTCATTAAACCCAGGTTCTCAGCTGTCATAATTTTTATTCCACTTTTTTTTTTGCGATAAAATCTGGTAGAATTTCTGGACTTGTGATAATACAGAATCTATCAGTGGGAATGATCACATTTATGTGTTTGAGTTTTGTTGGGGCATCTAAATTCAAATTCTTCATCAGTACGAAAGGAATATGAGGCACTGGCAATGCATGACTCGTCCTAAATTCAGCTTATTGGCCTTCGTGAATTCACGAACGTCACAGTCAGTAACTTGGATCAGAATTTCGTAGTTTCCCATAAAGGTGTACCCGAAAAAAAACCCTTTGAAGCTTTTTCGTCACAAAAAGTAATGATTACACTGTACTTACCTAAAAAATGCTGCTGTTCCAACGGAGACGCGTCATAGTACTGTATTTCATTATGTGTTCGCTTCATTTTCTAGGTCGTCTATTCCCCGTTAACGTGCATTACTTGGATTCCTTCGTCAATACGATGTATGGAAACAGAATCCCGGACGAGGTACTCGGCATTCTCCGAACCGCGCCTGATGATAATTTCGAACAAGATCGAATAACTTCATCGGCTGAACTCGTCGCAAAAACTGTTGAGTACATTCATGGAACTCGGGATCCAGGAGCTATTTTGTGCTTTCTTCCCGGCTGGCAAGAGATAAAAGCTGTGAAATCCCTGCTTGAAGAGTATCGTCGAAGAGACATGATGATTCTTCCCGTGCATTCAAAGTTGAGTAATCAGGATCAAGAGAAGATATTTTCGAAGCCTGATGTCGGTGTGCGAAAAGTTATTTTGGCGACCAACATTGCCGAGACGAGTATTACCATCGATGATGTGAAGTACGTCGTCGATTCCGGATTCCACCGACAAAATAAGTGAGTTGTCGTTGAAGAATTTTCTCGCGATTCATTCATTCACCTTTAAATCGCATCATGAATTCTGTGGAAGTTGAAGGAATCCGTAAATGATGATGCGGACCTAACCCAATTTTGTACCTGCGAAGGTGGGTTAGAAAAATTGCGGAGGAGAGACGAAGTACGCAGCGGTTTGTGAAATTATCCAGCGAGATGATTTCTTTTCGTGGGAAGCAGCGTTTCTTTATTTATCTGGCTTTGAATTCTCATGATGGCTTTTCCTCTTTTTTTTCTCTAGTTCAATTCCCGAGAATATTGTCATAAAAATTTTTCAGGGGAGGCAATAAGAGGCCTTTCCCAGAATACTGATTCAGTCTGTGTGAAAAATCAGATACGGCTTTTTGGTAGAATTTTTCGATTTTTCCGGAAAGTACAAGTATGCTATCCTCAAGTTCTGATTTATATCGTGTTTAATCGCGTAATTTGCAAGAGTTTTGTAGATACAGTACTGTACAGTATATGAGCACCGAACAGGGCTCAAGTGTTTTGAAACCGAGTTGGGGATAATTTCGTGATTGATTCGGACAAACTTGAAAATTCGGTCCCTTTTTTGAACTGAAGCCCAACGGCTTCAGCTGGATTCTTTTTCATTGTCTAAACTTATTTTACGTTGGAGTTGATTGGGTCGAGTTAATTAGTGATTTTTCGTTAATTTTCCAGTCTAGTAATTCACTATGCTGACACGTGTCAAAAGTTGGAAAAGAAAACAACGACGAGCGTTGAAGGGAAAAGAGCTGAGGCTTGGCTTGGCAACTTTTGCAGCATTAAAAAAAATTGATGTGAACGAATTTATTTTGTAAGTGCTGCGATTGATTCAGGAAAATGCGATTTAAGAAAATGCTTTTCTTTTTCCTCAATGGAAGCAAAGTCTTGGACATTACTGTGCAATCGTGTAAAATGAACCTTTTTGTGCCGGCATTCTTTTGGAATATTGTTTTTTTTTTCAAGTTGCGTTTGGAGGAGAATTGATTGCACACGATTCATAGAACGTAACGATAATTTTTCGGAAGGTGAAGCAAATTGAGCTAATGGAAGATTAGTGCTCGTTAACACCGTGTGTGTAGTACTGCAGAACGAATACAATGTTCTCGTTTTAATTATATGGTCCGACCCGTTGGAAACTCACGTAGTGAGTAACTTTTCGACTCACTGCATTAATGCCTTTCTTCTTCTTCTTCTTCAGAGACTCTCTTTTCTTTGGAGACTCCATCTATGGAGTCCCACTCTTTTGAGAATCATTCTTTTGTGACTCATTCTATTGAAACTCGCTCTTCCGAGACTCCCTCTTTTATAAATGCACCGTCTGCTGCGCTGAGGGGGTTTGAAAGCGTATTACTGTGAAGTACCTTCTGCTAAACTGCATAGAATTGATTCCTCGTGATTCTAGGACATTCTGTTGTCATCGTCGAGCTCCTCACGTACTTTATTATTACAGTTGAACCCCGTTAAACCGCCACCCTCGCTTCCCGCTATTTTTTCCTCCCGAACAAATCTTCTCAAGCTTGAAGGGATGGGAAAACCCCATTTATCCGCCATCCGCCAATCGCCCATATTTTTTGCCAAACAAACAAGATCTTGGCACTGTTTTTTACCCAGATAAACCGCCAATTTTTGGCTCCTCTCTTCAAAGCTTTATATTTCTGGTAATATTTTTAAATTTATTTGTTTTCTCAATTTAAAGATGCAAAGAATGAGAGATTTATGTCTCCACATAAAAAAAAGGAATGAAGAGTCATCTTCACAAAAAGCAGCATGGGGAGGGATAGAGGTTGAAAATTTAAAAACAAATATCAAATACACTTATTCATTAAATACTGTGGCAACCCCTCACTCGTTAAACCGCCAAAATTCTGCTGCACAAACGTTGGCGGTTTAACGGGGTTTGACGTGTATTATTATTATTATTCGCAGATTCAATCCGCGTATTGGTGTGGAATACCTCGCCACGACGTGGATATCGAAAGCCAACGCGAACCAGCGGAAGGGCAGAGCGGGTCGGGTTTCCAGCGGGGAATGCTTTCGTCTGTACCCAGAGCGCGTGTTCGACATCCTGGAACCCTTTTCAGTGCCCGAGATGCTCCGGTGTTCCCTCGAGCGCGTCGTGCTCGACGTCAAGTCCGTGTGGAACAATGACGAGAAGGTGTCGGGCTTTTTCGACGAAGTGCTTCAGTCTCCGGACGCGGCCAATGTGGAACGAGCGTTGAAGGATCTTCGGGAAGACGGGTTTATTGACGGGAATGAGGAGTTGTCGTGGCTGGGGAAGGTGTTGACGCCGTGTCCGACGCATCCCAAGTTGGCGAAGGCGTTGTTTTACGGGGCGGCGTTTCGTTGCGCCGGATCGGTGTCGGACGTTGTGGCGGCCTTGTCGGCGCCCAGGGATATTCTCGTGGGCAACGTGGAGACTCGGAAGGAGATCAGACAGGTGAGCACAGTACTGTAGTTTAGTTCGTTCGACAGCGTTAAAACTTGAAATTACAATACTGTACTGTATAACCCTGTTTTTTGCCGCTTGTTTCCAAAATGTTGTAAATATTATGCTTATTTTTATGTGGCTGAATTGAGATAGACGTAATGCTAGAAGAGCAGATATTCGATCATGTTCTGATTCCAGTTCCGATTTATTCTCATCTCTATATTTCAGGTTAAAAGCTAAAGAAAATCGAGTTTTACGGCCTTACTTGAATTGATCATGAATTTTTTGACAAGTTTTTATTGCTACTGTATGCTGTATTTCAAATACTGCCATTGAAAACGCTTCTTAAGGATAATGTACAGCACCAGATCTGTCGACCATTTTCTCAAAAGCAAAGCGTTCTTATTTTATTAATTTGTTGGGTACTTTCCTGTTATTTCAGTACCTACTTTCCATGCACCTACCAGAAACTGTGAATTTCATTTTTCCGCATTCTGCTGAAACTGATTTTGGGAGGCGGTTAGGTAAAGTTAGGTTAGGTCAGTTTATGTTAGTTACAAATATCTTCCAATTAACATAACCTGACCTAACCTAACCTAACGAATACTGAATTCACAAGACAAAGAAAAATGGGTACTGAGATAACAGGAAAGTACCATTTTTTGTTACTATGCTTATTTTGACTGTAAATGTTTCCCGAAACTGCTTGGTTTGATGATTTGTGTGGAATGAAGGTGCCCAAGTCAGTGAATGGATTGATGAACATTTTCGAAAAACGTTCAGAGGCTTTTTCGAGGTTTTCTTTAATGGATTCCTCTGCAGTTTGGAGGATTCTGATTTTTTAAGTTGTAAAATAATTCAATAACACTACTTTTAACCATCCCTTTTGATTAGTTTTGCTTAGAATGCGTGGGAGAATTTTGTATGTTTCTTAAAAAAGTAGCGGTTTCTATTCCAAATTATTTCAGTCGTTTTCAAATTACAGTACTTGCTGTTTTATTGCGAGGAAATATCAGCTTTCAACTGTTTACAGCGTCACATTGCTTTCCTTAGTGTCAAGTTGATGTCGGTTTGCTCACTTTTTATGCTGAACAAGAACTTTTGACCAATTTGAGCAAGCCGAACATAATTTAAATTGAATCAACGTACTGTAACTCGAGAAATGAAGCTCGTTCTAACTTGAAATATGTCAGGCGACATTAGCGACACCTGTTCAATGATACAGAAAATCGGGAAATTCTCGACATTCGAGGGCGTTCAAGAAAAAATACTCTACTGCACTGTAAAATGATCGGATGGCTTTTGTAAAAAATCAAATAAACATTATTCCGTCGAATTATTATGGGATGCGCGTTTCAATTTTGCATAGAATTTTGTAAAGGTGCTTCTTTGAATTTTTCCAGAAAAAACGTTCGGAGCATGCAAGCAGCGACCACTTGGCGACTTTGAACTTTTTGGAAAAATGTCGGCCAATGACCAACTCTTTCAAGGAACTGGTGAACTACTGTTGGACCAACATGATCCATCACCCTACACTCAGATTCGTGTTCGATCTCAGTTCGTCCTTCTTGGATTATTTGGAAGACCGGAAGCTCTACCGCGGGACTATCGATCACAAGATGGACTCGGACGAACATGTTGTGCTTGCTGCGCTTTGTGCTGGACTCGGTTTGACGCGGATCGTCAAGGTGAAACACGGGGAAGTGAGCAAAGGCATTATCGACACGAAAGCTATTTCGCTGAGAACGCAGTAAGTTACTTTAATAAACATTTTTAAATTTTGAATCCTGGACCACAAAAAAGAATGAGAAATCTTGTGTAATGGGATGATGTCTAGAAATCCGCCATAAAAAAAATAAAACGACCTCTCTTCGTCTGACATTAATAATCATAAACCATGTACCAACATGATGAACAAGGAAACGCGTGTAATGACCAGAAACCCCTCGTTAAAAATAAAATTAATGGAAGTCATCTTTTCGTCAGATTTCTGCGAATCTCCGTAGCCTTTCTTCTTGATAAATAGGCAATATTGAATTTGAATGATCCTTAGCAGAAATTAATTTTCAATCATATCATACAGCGTAGAAATATCTTCCTGGCAAGGGATATCTTTTTGTACGAGTGAATTTTTTTTTACCTCTATAGTTGTCAATCCGATTTGAAAACTTGACTTTCATATTCGCACATGTTGGAAAATGGCTGTCGAGTGACTGTAAATTATTTCCAAATACGTGAATCCTACAACTTATAGTCCAGTTAAACCTCGATAACTCGGAACGTCCCAATGTCGAATTTCTTTGAAGTCTCTGCCGAATTCCCTTGAAACAATGCATTAAAAGCCCACCGATTTTCTACCTCAAGCCTGCATAGGTCGAATTTTCTGGAGGCATTTTGGCTATTATTTTCTTGACAGTGGAGAGAGAGAAAAGCTATAAAAAATGTAACTTGATGCATTTTTTGAAGGAAGGGAAAGACTAATGGGACAAAAAAATCCTTGCCTCCAAGTTTAGCATCCTGTCAACTTATCTAAGAAGCAACTAAGGCCCAGAATACTGTATCAGCAATTGTAATTTTTTGTAATTGTTTAAAAATGTTTGTTTAAAAGGCTCAACATTTTTTGCTGTTCCCTTGAAGTTCGACTTGAAGAGTCGATCGTTTTTTTTTTTTTTTTTGGAGTCTCGGAAGATCTTTTGAACGTTGCTGAGTACGTGGAGTAATAATGAATCTTCATTTCAATTAAATAAAAATTTTATTTTCAGGTCGAATCATAAAGCGTTAGCCGGAAGCGAGTCTGTTTTTGGCGGAGGCAAAACAGAGAAGTCGATCGATCCTTCCACAGCGTGTCTCATGGGCTTTGTTCAAATAGAATCGGTGGAGCGAAGAGCTCGACTTCTGCGAGATTTGTCGCAAATATCTCCACTCGTCCCGTTGCTCATGTGTGGTAGAAAGTTGAATTTCTCTCGGGTTGACGAAGAAACCTGGCAGATCTCAGTTGACCACTCGAAAGTGGTGCAGGTTTCCTGTGATGAAACGTGAGTTTGGCTTTCTCTGACGAAATTCCTCTTCCCTGTTCAACGGTCCGCAACGCTCTTTGACTCAATTGATGATGTCCAAGCCAATCCCATTTTTAATTTCCTTTTTCAACTTTATCAGAGTTGAAGGACGGAGATTATGGCTGCAAATGTTGAACACGATGGAAAGTTTTATTTTTTTCTGAAATTGGTCTTCTTTTGAATACATCGGGGTTGATTCTCCAGTTTTTTTTTCTGTCTTATCAAGACAGGACATATCCGAAGTAGAAACAATGCCGGATGCTCGCACGATTCCTTCCTGGCTGTCGATCAAATATTGTCACATCCTTGAACGAATAAAGAGAACGTCGAGCGATTAGAGCTTCTCATAAGTTTTCAGGTCACCCAAATGCAACCGAACATTAAAAAAAGTGGGAATTTCGAAATTGATTTTCCGTGTAAAACAAACATTAAAAAAATTTTCTGAAGTGGAATCTATGCGTCAATGATGTTTAAAAGCTGTTACGAAATGCAAATTTGGGAGTGAGAAGATGTCCAAGTCAATTGGGGGAAGTATCGGTTTTATTTCATCCAATTTCCACAGAATCGTTAACAAATTTTTTTTAATTCTACGTAAGTTCTGTTTTCCAGCTTTATCTCCTCCAACTGTAGCAATACAAATGAAAATTCTAATCTAACTAAATGTCAAATTTGATCGAAAAATTTTGTTCGACGTTGAAAATTAATCTGTTTCTTTGAGTATGAGGCGTTATCAGTTTGAAAATGCATCGTATTTTTTTAGGGCCCATTTCTTTCAAAGGAGTACGTAATATTTCAACGTAAATCGGGCTTAGTACTCAGTTTTCATTACCTAATCTGTGTGTTCTTCCGGGTCGTTACTTTTTTTTTTCAGGACTAGAGATGCTTTGGAGGCTCTGCGAAAATCGTTAGAGTTTTCTGCACAAGTCTTCGGGTTGAGGAGCTTTGGCGGATGGGATCTGAACGAGGAGGTGGATGCTAGTATTAACCATCATCGAGTGGCTGTGATCGACGCCTTGAGGGAGGTTCTGAGGCGTCACACGGTGCTGAACCCAGTAGCAAAACTGCGTTCAACGAAAGAGAGCTGATGATGAGCGTGGCATTTTTTTTTATTGTTTAGGTGCTCTGGTAGTTATTATTTTTTTGGTGAGAAATGTAAGCTCTTGAAAGCAGCATGTCAGACTGCTGTTCTGATTCAGCTATTTTGTCATTTTAGTCACTGTGAATTGATTCACATTAATTTTTGTTATTTTTCTTGTGTCGTATTCCACAGGTGATTTCCGGGGATCTGGAACCTGTTGCACGTGGCGTCGAGATCGTGTGTGTGAAAGCGATTACGTGTGAATCGTGAATTAATCCTGTTCCTTCAACCTCGCAAATTATAACGCTCGCCAGATTTTGACGTCCTTATTCATTCAATCGCAGGATTACTCATTTGTTGGGGTTTGATGATGCTTAACAAATCATTCAGAACAGATTTCGGTTCGCCAAAAGTGGTGTGATCCTTTGGCAAAAAAAAAAAAGATCAGTTTTCTAAGCAGTGAATGATTCCCTTTTCTTTCCGAAGGGAACATTTCGGCCAAGATTCATTTCTTAGTTTAATGAAAGTGTTCAAGTCGTGTCCAAGGTTGGCTGTTATCTTCACCTCTTTGAATTATGAAAATCTTCGAATATTCGCTGTGATTTTAATTTTTTTAAATGTCCTGATATTTATTGAACTAAGATGAGAAGTTTCAGATGTGATGGAATAGAGTGCATTTGGCATAACCAAATGAATATCTTCCTAGAGGTGTTCTGATTTGTGGAATTTTCGCAATGCGATACCTGTTTTCTTTTGAAACTACATTGTCGATGATTTAATTTTTTTTTCTGCACAGTCACCAAACAACCATAATAAGCCTTGAAATATGTGCATCGTTTTTCCTGTAAAATTGAAATTTTGAATTTAGAATTGATCAGTATGAAATTTAAATCCGTTACAATGAATCTCGTTATAACGAATTTTTCATTATAACGAATTTTTTGGTGGTCCTGGCAGTTTCCCATAGGCGTAATGTTATAAAAATTTTGTTATAACAAAATAATTTTAGGCTGTAATCTCATAAAAATTTTTTGGGAATGATTCTGTGCATAGCCCATCCAGAAATTACTGAATAAATGGCAGAAAATGTAGAAAAAATTATAAGATATAGCATTAAAAATTCACGAAAAAAGAAATCTTTATGCATAGAAAACCTAATGTCCAAAAAAATGCACTACAGAACATACTTTTGGAAATTCTTCAACTTGTCTATTTTAGCATGTATGCCTTTTTCAAATAAGCAGTATCTAAGAAGAATGTTCCTCTATGTTTGAAAGAGCTATGGGTTAATAATTTGATTGAGAAGGAAGTACAGTATTTTTACCATGTGTAATTTTGTTTCATTTTATTTTTGAAGACAAGCAACACTTTTTTTACAAATGTTAGTTCAATTAAAGGAGAGTTATACTGCATTTATATCAAAGGATTTCTCTTCATTTCATCAGAAGTACATGAATTTTTTGCTTTAGAAGCATTCTAAGTATGTATTCCCCATTTCCAATAAAATTCCAGTCTGAAATTTGCTAAAATCATTCGTCTCAATATAGAAACTTTTTTCTTGGGTCCCTGGGAGTTTGTTGTAATGAGATTTTACTGTATAATCGTGGCAAATTCTTCCTCTGAATTTCCCAAAATTATAAAAACAAGACAATTTTAAAGTACCGTGAGCCCATTTATCTCAAAGTTTGAAGTGGTATTTGATGAAACTCAGGCTTCTTTTGACCAAAAACAGTATTGATTTATTTCTCAATTTTTTGCCGGAAATATTATTGTTCTCCAAATTTTTTGTTACTCGGGCCTTTTTTCATGTGGAACTCGCTGTATTTCCCAAAAACTAGTGCAGTTATTCGGAGTAATTGGTTTCAGAATTTTGGCGAATAATGTTGGCGAACATTTTTACTGATTCTCGAAATTTCGAGGTTACCTCTGTACTTCATAAAATGAAGAATGTTGACAACTTGCGGAAGAGACAGACGTCGTTGCATGTATACGGTGTTTATCTTGCAGACAGACGTTCTGATGTGAGTGGATTTGGTTTTGATCGGGTCGGTCGGTCCCTGATGGCATCATCATCATTCCCCGTATGGCGCGGCTGTTCCGAATGATGGCGGCGAATCCGCGGAGGAACCGGAAACTATTGCTGACTTGTGGCGGGTGCATCTTCATCGGTGCCCTGTTTGCCATCTCGCTCTACTCGAACGCGGCGTCGAGTGGCGGCGGCGGCGGTAGGAATAGTCTGTCTGAGGCGGCGGCGGGCAGCCATGCCGAGTCCGACTCGCGAAACCTCGGGGACGCCCATCGCGCCGCCCCGCTCATTTTCGTGGGCGGCATGCCGCGGAGTGGGACGACGCTGATGCGAGCCATGCTGGACGCGCATCCGTTGATTCGGTGCGGGGAAGAGACGAGGGTCATTCCGAGGATCCTGCAGATGAGGAACCACTGGGCGAGAAGCCAGAAGGAGACCCTCAGGTAATTGAATTGACGATAGATTGCCCTTTCTTTTTTAGCAGTGATTCCCAAACTTTTTGGGCCCGTGAACCGGCAAATTTTCTGCGGACCGGCGAAGTTTCATATCATTTTTGTCAAGAACCAATGAAGCAGCTCTATTGGAATGTCTTCGAAAATTAGAAAGATGGGCTTGAAGAAAGGTTTCTGAGAATTAAAAAGTTGAAAGAATTTATTTCATTAGGTAGAAATTTGTCTGAAGTACAGTGAGACCCCAAGATGCGGACATATTTGGTGCATCAAGAGTGTCCCCAAGTCAAAATTTCCCTACGTCAAGTCTCATTTTCCCTTAGACTTACATTATATAATTTTTAATTGGTGTTTTATGGCAAAAATACTCACCATAATTCCTTGAAAATAAGAATTGTCTCCCAATTTAAACTTATTCCAATCAATATATTTCATCACAATATGGGCATTTGGGGAATTTAATACTGATACCTCTGTGCAGTACATGGAAATGTTGGCATTCTCTGTAAAAATAATATTCAAGTGAAAAAGAGAGAAGGAAGTCACTCTATGCTGGAGGTAATTTTTTTTAATTAGCTAAATGGATGGTAAATTGGTGAGAGAAATGCGGTTCTTGAAAAAAAAATGTAGTTAAAATCCCAACCTTTATAGACAAAGTTGTAATTTGGCCTGAAATGTATGTGCAATTTTATAACAAAATGTCCCTATGTTGAGTCAGTGTCCTTATGTTGGGCCATTTTTATTAATTTTTTATCATAAAATAAGTGTCCCTATGTCAATTGTCTGCAGGTTGAGGTGTCTGCATGTGGGGGTCTCACTGTATTATTAGGAGAAACGTCAACTTTTCTTTTTCATCAGATAATTTCAACTGCGGTTGTTTTTCCCAAAATTTCAGATAAAGATAACAGACTTAATGCTACTTTTGATGAATTTATGATGTTGCAAAAAATTTCTTGCAGACTGGCAAAAGAATTTCTATGGACCAACGCTGGTCCGCGGACCACGGGTTGGGTAACACCGCTCTATAGTGAGACACACAAGGTCAAAGGGTGTTTATGCTTCTTCATCAATGGATGGTGTACAATTTTTTATTGTTTGGCCATGACGTTTTCAGACTTCAGGAAGCCGGCTTGTCGTCGCCGGTCATCGACGCGGCGATTTCGGCGTTCGTCTACGAGATCGTGGTGCGGCACGGCGACCCGGCGCCTCGCTTGTGCAACAAGGACCCGTTCACCATCAAGTCAGCCGAATACTTGCTCACGCTGTTTCCCAACAGCAAATTTGTGTTCATGATCCGTGACCCGAGGGCCACTGTGCATTCCATTATTTCGCGCAAGGTCTGTATTTCTCGATCAATTTTGTTTTGCACTTTTAAAAATGTTTAATGCTGTATAGTGCGATTTTCCTTTCCATCTGCTGCTGCTGCTGACTTGATTTATGAAGATAATTTGGCTCTTTTCACTCGAAAATCAAGCTGGATTTCGTATATTCGAGTTTTTAATTGGACCGCCATCTGTTGGCAGTTTGATTTGAGATTTTGAGGTTATCCTCGATGAAGCAGACGTTTCTCATTCGGGATGATAGTAAACATGAAATTATCAGAAATCTCTTATTTTTGAAACTTCTGTTTCATTTTGGCCGTTTGCCGTTCATTCCTGGTCTAAGTCAACCTCTGTGAATTAGTCTCTGATGGGATGCTGTACTGTACTGTACAGTGGACCCCGTGATGCGGATGTAATTGTTGCTTGGACCTTGTCCATATGTTGGATCACGATTGGGAGCAAATTTCATTGGTCCTCCTATGAATGAACAGTACACTTTATTTGCCGCTTTTCAGTGTTCACAAGGTTCACTCAAGATTTCCACAACCAAACCAACTGAAATGTCTGTTGGAACCTCCATGTACAGTACAGTGAGACCCCAAGATGGTGCATCAAGAGTGTTTCTAAGTCTAGTCTCATTTTCCCTTAGACTTCTCCTGTAAAATTTTTAATTGGTGTTTTATGGACAAAATACTAAAAATAATTCCATGAAAATAAAAATGGTCTCCAAATTGAAACTGATTCAATTAATATATTTCAATGCAATATGGACATTTGGGGAATTGAATACTGATACCTCTGTACAGTACATAGAAATGTTGGCATTCTCTGTAAAAAATAACATTTGAGAGAAAAGGAGAGAAGGAAGTCCCTCTATGATGGAGGTAATTTTTTTTTATTAGCTAAATGGATGGTAAATCGGTGAGAGAATGCCCAAGAACTTTTCTTATGTAAATTTTAGCATGTATGTTTGGAAATATCTGTTTCTTGTAATTTTGCCTGAAATGTATTTGCTATTTTATCACAAAATGTCCCTATGTTGAGTCAGTGTCCTCAAGTTGGGTCTTTTTTTATTAATTTTTATGGGAATAATTATAGTAGATAAAAAAATTAATCTAAAAAACCACATTTTCAAAAAGCAAAAAATAACCTTAAACATGGTGCGCATCTACTTCATTTGTATTTCACTTCTTCTCAACAATCTCCGTGCGCACCACGTTTAAGGTTATTTTTTGCTTTTTGAAAATGTGGTTTTTTAGATTAATTTTTTAATCTACTATAATTATTTTATTCTTNTGTCTGTGGGTCTCACTGTATTTTGAAAGTTTCCTAGAGATTTTTATTCTGTTTTCTGACAATTGCGAAATACTGGACACCCATAAATGACTTCTTTAATGTTGCATAATTTACAAACCTTAATTTTTGTTGTTGGCACGTTTAAAAATTTCATTTTTTCCTCAGGTAACAATCACGGGGTTCGACTTGACGAATTTCAAGCAGTGCTTGGAGAAGTGGAACGCGGCGGTGAAGACGATGAATGCGCAGTGCGACGCCCTGGGGCCGAAGAAGTGCTTGAAGGTGCATTACGAGCAGCTGGTGTTGCATCCGCATCAGCAGCTTCAGAAGACGCTGGCATTCCTGGACATTCCCTGGCACGACAGTGTCATGCATCACGAGAAGCTCATCAACAAACCCGGTGGGGTTTCTTTGTCCAAGTGAGTTCTGGACCTCTCTCCAGGTGTTGTCTAGAGTAGACCCTTACTCCAGGCCCCTGAATTGTATGAAAAAAATGCGTACGAGAGAAATGCAAAATTCGAAGCCGAGTGTTGCATTTGCAAAATATAATGTTACTACTGGTAATCATCCTTCTGAAAGTTGCAGGGAGTACATTTTAGTACAGAACTTTTGTTGGGTTCGAGAAATTCTTCCGCGGACAGGACAGGGATTTTTTTTTTTCTTTTGGACCGCAGAAAGGACTACAAGTCTGGGAAACTTCAAGCCGATATCAGTTCATGATTCGTTTGAAACGTACTTCAAGGGTGCACTACAGTACAGTAATTTCAAATTCGGGACTGATATTATTCGACCGGAATGCAGTGTTGACGCTTTATCGAGTGCAATTTCAAGTTTTTCGCAATTTTTGAAATTGATTACAGGGTGGAACGCTCGTCGGACCAAGTAATCAAGCCGGTGAATCTCGGTGCGTTGACCAAGTGGGTCGGGCACGTGCCCAAGGAAGTGGAAGCTGAGCTGGGGGAAATTGCACCCATGATGAAAGTGTTTGGGTACGATCCCAGCGACCCGAACCCCAAGTACGGGGAGCCGGATCCCGACGTGGCCAAGGCGTCTTAATTGAGGGAACCCATTTTTGTCATCCTACCTCGATCCTGAGTGTGTACATTGCAGAAATGGAACAAAAGAAGAAGAAGAAACAAAAAATGACAAGAACAGATTAATTTCAAAAGAAGCGTGTTTCCCATGCGGCTGTGGTTCATTTTAGGAGAGCAAACCTCGGACGAATCGTTTTTTTTTTGTGGCAAAGTTGAGTCTCGGTTTTTTTTTTCTTGTTGATTTTTTTCGTCTTCGTTTTGATTCGTTTTGTTCAGCTTTCGATTCAACGGCAGCAGAGACAAACAGTATGAGTTCAGCTCTTTATTATCGGTGTCGTTCTACTTTTCCGAGTATCGCTGCCAGTTTTGTTCATGGTTCAATACGCTGGTACGTGAGTCTCGTGTTGGAATCACATTCGCCCATGCTTTCGAGCTTCTCGTCGCCGGATTTGTGAACAAGTGACCGTTTGAAATGCAGATGCGCCTTTCAATCGAAAAAATTCGGCTTGGAAATCACTGAGATTGCAAAAATTACGTACAGGGAAAATAAATTGTATTCAGTGAAATCCAACACGGCTGATGTGGAAAATGATAATTTATTTCTACCTCTGTACATTCTTGGAGGTGAGAAGGTAGACATGAAATCCGTCGATGACTTCCCAACAAGAATCTACCGAGATGTGTAAAAGCTGGGAAGTAAATTTATTCTCCAATGGAAGTCGATTGATTTGTTTCATGATCGGTTATTTTCACTTTTTTCATTTGTTGATTATGGTTGCTGTCTCATTTGGAATGATGTGGAACACCATTTGTTATTGAATAAAAAGAAACTGGAGGTTACTCTACTCACTCAAGAATGCATGGTTCAAATGATTTATGACTGTCAGCATTTGAAACTAAGCCAGGAAGTGAAAATATATTTTGCAGTTGAACCGCATTTTTAATTCAGAGGGACCAAGTTAAGGATTTTTCTTGATAGATTTTTGAGTTGAGGAAACAAGCGTTTTTGTAAGGGGGAAATTAGGATATACCCAGCAAAAAATTTCGGAGTTGCGTGGCTACTTGCCAGCGTGCTGCCGGCGCGCCAGCGTTATGCGTCGGCCCCGACTCCCAATGTGTCGTTTTCCATCTCC